AGAGAGAGAGAGAGAGACAGAGAGGTACCAGTAACAGCTGACTAGAAACTGGTGACTCTGGATAGCGACTGAACCGACTGACTGACGCTCTGCTGGCTGATGCTTTGATGGTCCGTTGGTGGGTCCGTTCCTTGCTTGCCCCGATGATGTACTGTAGTAGTAGGGTAGGGAGGAAAGCGAAGGGGTAGGAAGTAAGCAAAGTAGAGGTAAGTAGGTAGGTAGGTAAAGTCAGGAAACGGGTCAAGTCAAGAGACGAAGAGACGAAGAGACGAAGAGACGAAGAGACGAAGATGCAAAGATGCAGAGATGGAAAGGTGAAGAAACGAAGAAATGATTCCGCCTTCGGCAAGTCGGTCTCACAGGTACGGAAAAAGCTGCGTTTCGAATCGGAAGAAGGGGAGGAAAACCAATCTCGTTCCTTCCCGTCTTTGTTTGTTTGTTTGTTTGTTTGTTTGTGTGTTGTTTTGTTTGTTTATCCAGACGGTAATATAACAAAAAAGAAGAGCGCGGCTCGGGCGGGGGGGAGTGGGGCGAGTGGGGCGAGTGGGTCGGGTCGCGGAGATATGATTGACCGAGATACGATCAGTCTATTAATCAGGCAATCGGTGTCAGTTTGTGTTGCCTGCCCCACCCGACCGGCCTGCGTCATTCTCCCGTGACCGTGCCCGTGACCGTGACCTAAAGACCCCTAACATCCCAAGTTCCCAACCGTCCACGTCCCAAGACGATGATGATCCCATACCTACTCTAGACATGCCACCTTTCCTCAGCGCCGATCTGCCGAGAGACTGGCGTCTGAGAATTCCGTAAGGCCACGTTCCAAGCCAACCCAGCACAGCATAACCCAGCACAACCCAACCCGACTACCCAACCAACCACCATCCGACGTCGATTATTTCCGCAATGAGAACGAATCAGTCGAGCGTACAGTACGGGAGTTGGGTACACGTCTTTGTACGTACGTACACGCACTCCCGGAGGATCTCGCTCCATCATATCACCATAACGCAGATCTCTCTCTCTCTCTCTTTCTCTATCTCTTTCTCTATCTCTTTCTCTATCTCACTCTCTATATCTCCTACAGATAGATCGACCCACGGCTTTCCCCTTCCCACCTTACTCCGTCCCTCCCTCAACTCTCAGCCAGCCACTGCCGACAGACATGCATATTTTGCAAGCATCAAAAAGTAGAGTGTTGCTGAGGATTGGAGGACCTAGGTGAAGATCAAGGTGAAACCACCGAAACATGAGATTGGCCTTGGGAGGATCGAGTACCAAGAGAGATGAAGAGATGAAGAGAGCCAGATATATATATCTATATATCTATATATATCTATATATATACATGTATATATGTAGTTAGTAGTATATATGAAGTGATATATATATATATATACCGGCGCTAAGCCGGAGCACTACCTCCGGAAGAAATGAAAAGGAAGAGGAAGAGAAAGAGGAAGAGGAAGAGAAAGAGAAGGAAAAGGCGAGGTGCATGCATGCATGAATGAGCAATTATAAATGGATTCTTATATATCATTGTTGTTGTAGATCATCGAACTCCACCCATCTACGACTAGCACGCGTTGGATCCTCCGATGAACTAGCTGTTTTCGAAACGTGAGGTCAATCTGATTGGTAAAGAATAGTATGACGCGGGTATGATGCGGTAAAAGAAAAGGTATCTGAGCCATGCAAACCAACGCAATAATGGTATCGTCGTCGCCGAAAAGAAAACTCGCAAAATGATATCGCTCTTCCGCGGCCGGGGATCTCCCTCCCTCTCGAGAAGCTCATTTCATCTCGTCTCGTCCCATCCCAGCCCATCCTGTAAGCACATCATCCCCCAAACACCACCCCCGTCCTTCTTCCCCTTCCTTTCATGCAAACATCATCATGATCATCATCACCATCGGTTACCCCCCCTCCCCGCCTCCCCTCCCTTCCCCGCCTCCCCCCACCACCTAAGCCTTCGCCCTCCCAGTCCACCTCGTCCGCGGCCCCAACTCAACAACACTCCGCGCCGTCCACCAGAACACCGCCATACCAACGGCACTCAGCAGCCACAGCAGCGCATTCACCAGATCCACCCACACGGCATGCTTCATGCGCCGCAGGTCGGCGTTCCCTTCCGGGTCCTCGTCGAGGTACATCTTGCCAAAGAGGCCGAACAGCGCGATCCACAGCACGAAGAGCACGCTGTCCCAGACGAAGGCGAAGGGCACCCGCGACGCCAGAGGGATCAGGTAGGCGACGGCCGTGGCGGCGGCGAGGGCCCCGGTGACTTCGGCATAGACCTGCGGGAGTCCGTTAGCTGGATGGCGGCGTACGCTCGAGGCGGGAGGGAGGAGGAGAAGGAGGGAGAAGAAAGAGGAGGAAAGAAAGAAAGAAAGAAAGAAACGTACCCATTTCCCATCACTGTACTTCCCAGCCTGCCGCGCGCGGTTCAGGTCCACGCCGTACAGGCCGCAGACGGTCAGCGCGAGGGCCATCTGCACGACGCGGAAGACCGAGTGCGCGATGTAGGAGGGCGCGAGCTCGACGCCGCGGACGACGGGCATGTTTAGATCTTCGCTCGCTCGTGTGGATGGACGTCGATGTGGTGGCGGGCTGTGCTGTGTTGTGTTGTCTCGAGTATCGAGTATCGAGTATCGAGTTCAGGTAGGCAAGTACTTATCGCGACGTGCTGCCTTCCTTTTCTCTCCCTACTCCCGTGCTCGACTTGACTTGACTCGACTCGCAGGAGGCGCAACCCGCTGCGTATTTAAGGTAAGTAGGACGGTACCTCCTCTCCTTCCCGTGTGGTAGGCATACCGGATGTGTGTGTGATTATGATTGTGCTTGCTGAACGCTGAAATGCTGAAATGCTGCTGTGGCATTGAATCACCTCAGTCACCTACCCACTCACTCACTCACTCACTCACTTATAAAAAGTCCGTAGCTAGGTAACCCAGTCCTACCCCAGTCAACAAAAGATGATTCATTCATTCAACCCATTCAACCCATTCAACCCATTCAACCCATTCAACCCATTCAATCCATTCGTTCAATCCAATCCAATTCAACTCCACCCACCCCCACCCCCGCCTTCCCTCCCCCCCTTTCTTCACAGATAAGTACCTACCTACCCACCTATCATATCTTCCAATCTTCCTTTTTTTCAATCTTTTTTTTATTTTTGTTTTTTTTTTTAGCCTTTTCCCCCCCCAAGATTTCCCTCCCTCACATCCTTCTACTTCTACTCTTACTTTCCCTTCCACTCCAGTACCGGTACTTCCAGTACTTACAGCAGGAGGGGCTCGCTAGCCAAGGTACCGGTCCTACGACGTACAAATGACGTCGTCGCCCTCTCACACCAAACCAAAACCAAAGCAAACGCTCCAATCAGCTACCGAGTAGTACGGTACGGTACGGTACCGGGTACTTAAGGTAGGTACGCTACGCGATTTGATCACCTGAGTATCGGATAAGAGTGATCCAGCCTCAAAACCATCCCAGAGGAGGAGGAGAGTCCCACTGTCCAAACAGTTAAATGCGTACTTCATACCTACCTTATCTAATCTGACCTTACTCACTCTCATACAGTACCTACTGTAAGGACAGAGTAGGTAGAAACCCCGACCGGACCCGTTACCGTATTCTATCTATTTAATCAATCAATCAATCAATCAATCATTCATTCATTCATTCATTCAATCATTCATCCTTTTTTTTTCTTCTTCATTTTTCTTCTTTCTTATCTTTCCCCCTTCTTCTTCCCCTTCTTCTTCTTCGCAACCCATACGTACCGCATGTATATACAGTATCCCATCACTTCCAAGCAGAGGATATCCCAAATCTCCAAACCCACCACCTAAACCCCACCATCCTAAAACCCACCACCTCCAAACCTAGCGGCGGTACCATACAAACCTACCTCACCTACCCTACACCAAACCTTCCACCCTCTCCCAACAGCAGCCCAGCCCATCACATCACAACACAGGCAAGACACGACACGGAAAGAAAAACCATCGCTGTTGCGCTTGCATATCAATATCAACACATACACACACACATTCACATACACATACATACACATACACATATACATACATATACATACACATCAATATCATTACATGTCAATATCAACATCCATAAATATACGTACCTATATAAACTCCTCAAATAGCTGATCAATCAGGTAAGGTACCCACCGACCCACCGACCCACCCACCGACCGACCCGACCGACCGATTGTGATTCTCCCATCCATTCATCGCCTCTTATCGCCCCGTCGTCATTACTCCCATTCTCATTCTGAATGTGAATGGTCGGTCATAAACGTTCGACTGCAGACGACAGGTGGCGTGAGACCCTTGCTGTTCGGTCCATGATGGAAAGGATGTCGGCCATCTGTTCGAGAGCCTACGGACAGTTCTGGCGGGACCGTGGCACGAGCGTCGCGCTGGTCACGGTGCAAGTGTGAGCACAGCAACAGATGAACCTGCCGCCGGGCCTGCACTTAAAGAAAGCAATTGGTGGGTATTGGCTAATCTGTCCACGCTACTCTGTCCCTTCCCGTCTTCACCTGAGCCCCCTCAAGATCATCTCACGCCGTTCCCCTTCCTCTTCGCTCCGGGACTCCCCTCATCACTGCTCCTCGAGATCTCCATACCCGCCTTACTAACCGCACTCACTGCCCTGCCCACTCCGAGACTGATCCCTCTCTGCCGATCCCCCGTCAGACTCGCAAAACTGATGTTACTGCCAATACTGCTCCTTCTTCCGTGCGTGTGCTTCGGGCTCGATCTTCCTTCTCCTGATCCAGAGCCAGATTCGTCGTCAACCGAGACAGTTTTGATGTGGCGGTTCGGGGTAGGCGAAGACCCCTTTTCAAAGGAATCCTCGACAGCCTTGTGCTGGTTTCGTGCGCGTTTGCGCATACTCGCTGTACGTAGCGAGACGTCTGCGTCTGATACCACTCCGTTGCCGGTGCCATCATCGTTTGGCCGGACGACGAGAGCGTTGGAGTCGCCATTTGTTAGCGTAGCGGCCTTGTCAGCGTATGTTGGAGAGCCATCTTCGCCTAGAGGACGCGTGTGTAACTGGTGCGTGTTCGATGCTAAGCTTACGCGTCGTACCCTCCTGTAGTGCTCGTATTCTTCCTTGGAGTGCTCTGCGTCGTAGAAGCTTTCTAATGCGTCGAAGACGTGCGGGAAGACGAGGGTGTTGACCTCGCGGGCCCAAAGGAAATCGAGATGTTCAAAGTGCGGGATTCGGATAGCCACCGTGTGCATGGGAAGTTCGCGGAGCATAACATCAATGTCCATAAACGAATCACAACCGCCATATACGAGTATCACGGGGGTCTTGATGTTGCGGGTGGGGAATTTGGCAACTTTGGTGTATCTGTTGACAGTGCTCAGTGAAAGAGCCGGCTGGACGTCATCATCATACATCTGAAAACTCTTGGTGCGGATGATCTGGAACCAGTGCACCACGCTCTTCACGCTGGAAAATGAGTAGAGGTGCCGGTAAGCGGCCAGCTTCTGGGACGTGGAAATATTGCGGACGTGCCAGCCGAAGAGGAACGAGAGCCCCGTATCGACGAGGCGGACGAAGATGGGTGGGTAGAGGATGGATTCCCACATTGTTACTGAGCTGAGGATCGAGTGGCGCCCAAACATGAGGAAGAGAACTTGGGGGGAGGCTTTGACGAGAGCATCGACGATGCCGTTTGAGAGGCCAGCAGGTGACATGGCTGGTGCTAGGGCGATGAAAACATTGACTTGCTCGTTGAGTCGTGGGTGGACTGCCAAAGAAGCGAAAGCTTGTGCTGTTCCTTGGGAGAACCCGATGTAGGACAGTGAGGGTGCTGAGGTTGTTTCGAGGATGTATGCGATGCTGTCGGGGATGTCATGGAAGGCAAACTCGTCCATCGAAAAGTTCCAAAACGAGATATCCGCAGGGGAGTGATGGATAGACTTCTTGGAGTACTTATTTCCTCTATTGTTGCCGAGCTTACACAGTCAGCACATCTTCCTGTAGCAGGGATTTCCACACTTACCCAAACATCGTATCCCTTCTGAACCAGCTGGAACGGCAAGCATCTCTCTTCTTCCGTCAAGCATACCCAAACCTCACTATTCATCATCAATCCGTGATGCAAGTACACCACAGGCTTCCGCACGCAATTATTGCCACGATTGATCTTCTGGTCTTCCTCCCCCTTACGGTATGCCAATCGATGTAGACCTAACAAGTAGCCGTCCCTAGTCTGCACGACATGTTCTTCAGCGGTATACCCAAAGACAGCACAAAGATCCACGAAGTCGGAGGCATTTCGAATTTTCTTTGAGATATCTATTCCAATCAGCATCTGCCATTCCCTCTCCTTGGTTCCCAACATACCACTCTTCTTCGACTGGGCTTCCTTTGTAGCGGGGGAGGCGAAGCGATTGAACAGTCGTCTCGAAGCTCGGTAGCAGAGGTTGATGACCGAAGAAGCTGCATATTGTCAGCACGCCTTGCAGACTGGGTAGGGGATGAGCCATACGAAGCGCAAGTGTCACGACCCGTGCAAGAGCTTCGAGTCCGACCAGAAAGAAAGATCCCACTAGCGCAATATACTCGGCCCTGCAATGCGGTGTCAGTGGCTAATTCGAAAGGGACCATGCCAGCAGCATCGCAGGAGGGAGGAGAGAGAGAGTATACACACATGCCCAAGCGGCCAAGAAAAGGAATCGACCCCATCTCTCGAGATCAATATCAATGTAAGGAAAAGGCGCGGGTGTGTGTATGTAGAATCGAGACTCTGATTATGCTGGTTGTTGACTTGCCTGCGCCAACTGATTCTGTGAATGAAAGATTGAAGGAAAGGCACTCCCTTGATCGCGCCGCTAACATCCGGATATCTAGATCTATGAAGAGTGCCGGCGTTGCTCTCTTGTCTCGTGGCGACAGATCATTGCGGCGGCGGCCTGGAGGTTGTCCTGTCCAAGATGATGTCAATACAGATAGTCAGTAGATCACATGTGGTGCGGGTCTTTGACAGGCTGCTCAGGCCTGCCCGTGCAGCAAAGCTAAACAACACAAAATCCAGGGTCCAGGGTCACACTGTTGGTATCAAATAACAAACAGATATGATTAGCGTTTAGCCAAACAGAAGAAGGGCATAAATATACGAATACATCTATATATATATGCTAATGAGAAATAAAAGTGATCTGCGAAAGGTTTCTTCCTATATTTACTTACCTAATGCTAGGCCAGGTAAATAATGCAGGTGACGATCACAGCCAGCTGGAACGTTAACAATTCAGACAAGCTTCTGATCGTAACTGTAAACACCCGGACTGGAAGAACATTTTCCCGATACAAGCCCAGACAAGCTCCGACGGAAGCTTCATTTGCCTGCCAACGACAACAGTATCGCAACAGCACTGCTAAAGACATGTACTAGCAACAAGACACGACACAGGTGGCGCGAATATCCAACAGTCGCTGCTGTCGAATTGAGACGGGAGGGACTGACCCTGGAGAATATTTTAGAGCGGAATCAAAGATGCCGAGCTCGTGCAAAGATATCCGTACGACCTTGCTTGCCCCCCCCTCCCCCCCTCCCCCTTTTCTCTCCACCTCAAACCCTCTTCTAACAACACTAACCAAGAGAACCAAAACAGGAAAAGCGCTCGCGCAATGCCTGCAAGAATCCGACTGCGTCATGATCCAGCGCAACAAGCCCGGCGACTGCCTCCGCCCCCCCCTCATCGACACCATGCCGACCAAGTGCCAACAGCTCAAGAAGGGGCTGGGCGAGTGCAAGCGCGGCATGGTTGACATGCGCAAGCGCTTCCGGGGCAACCAGCCCATTTCCGTGAGCAAGGAGCTGGAGGCCGGCGAGAGTGCGGGCGGGGGCCAGCTGTATGCCGGGAAGCCGGCTTTTGCGGGGACGGTCAAGAGTACGGATGGCGATGGGGAGGAGCCGAGAGATTGGAGGGAGGTGGAGAATGAGAAGTTTAGGAAAGGGCTGTGAGGGTTTGGGGATGATTGAGGGGGAGTGGGGGAAATGTGGTGGGAGGTGTCGGCCTTGTGGCCCTCGATATGTGCCTGGATGTCATAGGGCATATTGAGCCAGGAAATGGCCATGAATGGGGAGAGAAATGGATATATGAGGTGTGTATATTATGGAACCTGCCTTGGAAGATGTCATCGCATGGGTGGCGTTTGGGCGCATATCATAGGACTGGCCGCTCAAGACTGATACGATATTCGAGCCCCAGGACTTCCACTTGATGAGCTGTGTGACTAGCTTCCTTGTGACGACATTTTCTCCTCACGCGTGTAAGCCTCAAGAAGTGATTCTGCCAGGCACATCTTTCTATCCCTTCCCTAGATATCAACTTTCCTCGGGTGGTCTCCCCTCCGCAAGTACTCGAATTCTGAACACTCGGTTCTCGAAGAAGCGAGAACTTGGAAGCTCTTGGAACTGTCCTTCTTGGGAGTAGGCACTGCTAGCCATCCAGGCTCGTCATCAAAAAGTCAAGCCTTCTAGGTAGGTAGGTACTTGGGTATCTAAGCAACTCCCTTCTCGGCTAAGTGAAAGAAGGCACTCTCGTTTCCACGTACCTCAAGATACACGAAACCGCAGCTTGCACGTCCCTAGTTAACACTCTCCTTTTCCGATTGCCCTCAAACAATCTCCATCCTGCGCATCACGTTGAATGCAAATTTCCTCGTCGGCTGCCAGATCCTCTTCCTGCCATCAAAGTGCACATATCCCGCCCCAAGAAGCAGCCCTCCGAGATGCGCTGCATGGGCAAGTCTTAAGCCGCCCCACCCGAAGAATGTCCCCCAAGTCTCAAATGCAACAAGGGACCAGAGCGCGGGAACAGCAGGCACCGGTACGAACATGATACCGATTTTGACATTTGGGTAGCTGAGCACATAGGCTGCTACCATGGCATAAATCGCACCGCTGGCCCCCAGCCCAGGCGACATGCGACCTGCAGCCATCCTAGCTATAGGCGATGCGCAGCTGATATGATGCGCCAGACTGGAAAAGAGGCCACCGGTGAGGTAGAACGCTGCGAGATGGGCACCGCTGGACTGGAAGGTCGCCGTGGCTGCGAGCGCGGGCCCGAAGGACGAGAGGGCTAGCATGTTGAAGCCGATGTGGAGGTACCCGGAGTGGCCGAACATGGAGGTCAAGAGGGTGAAGTTGCGAGCGTACATTGGTACGTGTGCAAAGAACATGAAAGTACTGCTGCTGAGGCGCTGGAGTCCGAAGGCAGCAAAGTTCAGTCCACCGGTCGTCACTAGCATCGCCTCTGCGCTGTTGAGGCGTGCCCATGGGGTTGTGAAGATGTCCGAAACCGAGAACCTGGCGGTTGCAGGCGATCGAAGCACTCCCTGAATCTGCCTCGTGGCATCAATGCTGTTGTAGCTGACTGTGCCTACTTGTCCCTTGAATTGCTGGACATCTTGATAGACTTCATAGGCTGCGCAGCCTAGGTAGATGGACCCCGATGCAGCAAGGGCCCAGAGCGTTGGCCCGAGGATTCTCACTGGATGAAGTCTGGGTTGATGCGCTTGGTGTTCTTGTGTTGCGTATCTCCTGAATGGAGACTGGGGAGGGATGCGGTTGGAGATTCGGGCTGTCACGTTCCTCCACAGCGAGGAGCGGAGCATCGTCGATACGGTCGAGACAGGCGCGTTATATGAACATTAAAAAGTACATTCCGATTTTGAGTCCTGACCTTGCGATTAAGGACCTTGATACTGTATGCAGTATTGTAGTGTCGTGGGTATTTGTTCCCGTTGTGGTTTTCTGATGTTGAATTATGAATGACGGACGTGAACAAGTCGCTAAGCTTCTCCATGTCTCTGGTCACATGATTATCGACGACCAAATTTCTCCTGCCGGCATAAGAGTGAAATGCTTGCCTTTTCTTCCGGATTTCCGGTAAAGGAGAAGAAGAGGAACAAGTCACGTATCGACATGGAAAGCGAAGTTAAAGTTGATATTACAGGATAAGTTTCGGCTCTGGCTCTGGCTCTGGTGATGATTCATTAACGAGTCACGTTGGTTGTCCTTTAGTTTCAAATCCGATCCCAGCTCCTCAGCCTCGGGACGCTTGCTAAAGCCTAAACAATAAATGCAATGCAGTTTCATTTTTCCAAACCACAGCCCTGCCGACCCCAACTTTTCCCCGGATCCTGCTCGATGCTTGTTCCGGATGCTGATCCTCTGCCATGATATGTGATGATGCATGGGCCACTCGGGTTCACTCACTCCTTTGGGCTGGTCAATTCGCAGCTTTGCAAGAGATATTGCAAGAGATATTGCAAGAGATAGGATGAAATATCCAAAACCGCAAAAATTACCCAAACCACCAAATAAGACGACATCAAGACTCCTTGAACACTTGAAAACTTGAACACTTGAACACTTGAACACTTGAACGAGGCTGATAATAACGGCTGTGCCCAGACACTCACTCACTCATCTGCCTCGTCCCATCGTCGGCGCTCCACATGGCTCTCGGAACCTGCCAAGGGCTCCGTGTGATGACTCGCTCCCATTCTTGTTTCACACTGTCCCGTGACCCGTCCCGTCAGCAGGCATCAGGTATTAGACATCAGACATTAGACATCAGAGCGCCATATATGTTGGTTTGGGCTCTCTGGGCAACGACCTTCCGCAAAAAAAAAAAAAAAAAAAACCCTCCCGCGACGAAGGAAAAGATCTTAACGCGATATTATTATTATTATTATTATTTTCATTATCACTCATTATCAGTCATCATCAGTCATCACCACCATCCTTAAGCACGACCCGATGTCTGTTTCCCCGAAAGATGATGTGATGAAGGATGGCCTGCTGCAGACGAACTCTCCCAAACCCAGCAAATTCAAATCATTCATCGCAAAGCGGCGGGAGTCACACAACCTGCCGCGTCCAACGATCGGCGAGCTAAGTGCGGATAACGGGAGGAAGCTTATATCCTCACACTCCGAGTTTGAAGCCGTGATCGGGTACAGGTCAGCTGATTCCATTCATCTCCTCCCTTTCCCGTCACTCAAAGCAGAGACTGCGAGAAGAAATGCCAAGCTCCATTAGAAGCAGCCGGTTCTAACGAAAAGCAAAGTCGGGCCGTCGTCACAGGATCTTGGATCGAGGTATCCGGGACCACAGGGTATGCCACTCACGTCTCGCTTTCAACGACCTTTTCAGCTGACATTTCCAGTGTTCACTACGACACCGGCTTCATCTCAGGCTCTGTCGTGGAGCAAACAGAACAAGCTTTCATCAACATTGCGTCAGCGCTCGAACAGGCAGGTTCCTCGCTCCGAGATGTCGTGCGCGTGCGGTACATCCTCCCTGACAAGCGAGAGTTCTCCCTGATATGGCCGACGCTGAGGAGTGTGTTTGGCAACATTCGACCGGCTGCTACGATGATTCAGGCTGATCTGATGAACGACGAGATGAGGATTGAGATTGAGGTGACGGCAAGGAAGCCAGTGAGAGCGTATGAGGGAATGGTTTAAGCTCAAACAGGGGCGTCTCTTGGAGTCAGTCTTTCTGTTTGTGGGTAGTGGGGAGAAGATGACGGAGTTGGGGGAGTTTTTTTTGGAGGGGGGGGATGGTTTCCCCTTGGAGTTTTTGGGCTTTGGTGTACTCTGGAGTACTCTGGAGTGCTTTGGAGATAATGATTACAACGAAATGCCCGGGTTATGGAAGCGCGAGCCGCAGATTATTTGTATTTGTATCCATTCATCCAATATCTCCAATCTGTGATCAACTTGGTCAGAAGGATAACTGTCAATAGCTCTCCACAGATCGAGCCGTCAACCTCGTTTTAAGAAAGTGTGCCGACTTGCAGGTCTGGGATCTATCCGCTCTGATTAGTCTGTTGGTGAGACCACATCGTGTTTCCCTCTTGACACAGGATTTTGGCATGATCACTCCAACCAGAATAGGGAATTCGTGAACGGCAAGGAATATATTCCAATGACTCTTGTGAGTATATGGATTTGGAAACAGAACTGGAGTTGGAGTCAACTGTTACGCAAGATCGAGCTCCTCGCGCGTCTTTTGCGGATGATAGGCGCGACGGCGCCAAAGAAACATTCACCCAATTTGGTAATGGTGAGTGTATAAAAGTTAATAACGTCAATTTGGTATTTAAAAAAAAAGGGCTTTGAGAATGGATCTCCTACAATCATTGTATACATGTCTGTTCTCATACTTTATCTTGTAAAAAGTATCTACATAGGCTGACAACGAGATACTGGTTCTCTATACAAAATCAGGTTGTTTCTTTTTGTTCGGCTCTATTTGGCGCTACCGCTTAATCTGCATTTGCCAATATCAATATCGCAGCCCGAACAAAACACACGAATGAACGTCAACACCTCACCGATCTTTGAGAGCGGCACAGCGCCGTAGTTCGGTATCACAAGGCAGATTTTGAAGATGGAGTCTTTGTCGGCCTCTCCTAAGATGACCTGCCAAACTCCTTCGAGCAATTTGCTTGAGAATGATTCCCGTTGCGACTTTAGTGCAGGAAGCTTTGAGCAGGAAGATTTGTACTCTGAGGAGAGACCGGAAGGTGGTAAGCATTCGAACCTTCAACAATCTAGTTCATCGTATCGTAACTCTAACGCTTCGCAGCAAGGGAGGAGGCCGAAGAAGCCCAAGGCCAGAAGGGAAAGGATACGATCGACACCTGCACCATCTCCACATCCCAAGGTGAGAGTTGTCAATCTCTCTCTCAAGCCAACTTCCACATGCCTAGACAACTAACCATCAAATACCCCAGAGGCCCAGTCCTTCTACAACCCAACAACCACCTACCCCAACGTCCACCAAATCATCCGAATCCACGGCCCGATCCCCCCCCTCACCGACCCGGCCCTGACATCCTACTACCTCGCCCAGGCCTGCCAATTCGCCCAAGTCTGCCCCATCTCCTTCCACGGCACCTACTCCCGTAACGCCCGCTCCTGCGCCCCCGGCTGCACCCTCCAGCCCGTCTGCAACCCCTACCGCGAGGACTGCCCCGGCAACTGCGGCCGCTCCCACGTCCGCCGAACCTGCCACTCCGTGTTCGACGTCGACCCCCTTACCGCGGGCTACTGCTGTGCGGAGGCCGATCGGCGCTCGGAGCACGACCGCGTCCTGGCGCATGCGCACAACACGTCGGCGGAGGAGTGGGCGCAGAGGGCTGCGATGGCGCGTCTGTGGGCTCCGCATTACTATGGCTACTATGGGTTTGAGGCCGAGGCCGAGGCCGAGGAGCTGTCGCTAGAAGGTAAGTCGGTCTCCTGCTCTGTTCTGCTGAGTTACGAGCATCGATCCGGGGGTTAAATAGGTTCTAACCGTCTCTTGTGTGTCGCTTAGGACTGGGGCGGGTGCTGGATGGTATTCATACGGAGACAAATGTTGATACGAAGACAAGTGATGATACCGAGATCAACGACGATACTACATCACCTAGCGCCATCAAAGGCTCATCTTCAAAAGGTACCTGCCTACCTTCCCCAACTTGCCTTCTCTTTCTTCCTAAGAACCCTAAGGAAAGATGGATGGACGGATGCATGCTAACAGACCATCACAGCTCTGTCCAAAGACCAACCAGGACACCTCCTCTCAAACAACAACGCCTCAACACCTATGTCAGAGACCAACCCTGCTCACCCATCCGATACTCGCCAACCCCCCCTCTCTCCAACCGTGAAGCCTCGGGGTAAGATCGCGTCGTCAAGAGGCAAACACTGCTGTAACATGGATTAGATAGACAAGAGCAAGCCACCCAACTAGCAAAAACGTCATTGAGAACTTCCTTGTATCCATTTAGACTCCAGAGCCTTGGTGGACGTCTCCCCGTCCAAACACAATACAAGAACTTCTCCTCTTCAACATCATTACTTTTGGATGCACGGGATTCGCTGGCGATATGCGTCTCACGTATGCTATCAGCTGATCTCGCCCTAGGTATAGCACAGATCTCGGTCTTCCTATTGTGAGTAGAGCTTCTACGGACTGCTTTTGGAGAAATAGGGAGGACATAGTTTGCTCGGAGGCAGACGTACATGCCCTCCTCCCTTTTCCAAGTGGTCTTTGTTTATGCATTCATAGCTAGGGGAGAGAGATTTTATTTTGTGATCGGTTCCAAATGTGCGTTTTCTTTATTTTGTTGCATGGGATATATGTATGTATATACGTATGCATCAACGACTATCACCCACGCAATCTGTTGCACTAACAGCCCTTTCCGGTATAGGTATTCCTCTGGCGAGAATTCTATGCCCATCGCAGAATTATCAGGAGGTCAGCATTTCAGAGCTGCAGGCGTCTCTCTCATCTCTCTCATCTTGGTTGGATATTGCAAGGCAGATATGTAGAAGGAGAAGAGGAGAGAGAGGAGACAGCTGATGCTGGTACGACATTGGGTCGTTAAGCGAAAAAGAAAAAAAAACAATAGTATTCTCCTTGTTGTGTGCACCTGGGATACGGGATCCATTCTAAGCCCAGCCCAGCGAGCCGAGCCAAGGTGAGGCGAGGAAGGAACGGGAAAGAAATGGAAGAGCTGTTTGAGAAGTGAGGTATGTAGAGCTTAAGGGTGGGGAGTAGAGGTCACAGCGACTGCATGCATGCATGCATGCATCACGGGAAGGAAATAATTGAAGAGACGACGATGAAGGCTGTTGATTGCCAAGCGGCGCAGATTCTTTGAAGCGAGATACAGTGCTCCTGGAACTTCATGGTGGCTCCATCCACGTTCAAACGGGACTTCAAGGTCGACATCCAGCACACACGGTCGCTCTCCCAGTCGAAGTAGATTCGTAGGGGTGGCGCAAATCGAAAGCGATGTTGTTGGCGGAGAGGCTCACGCCGAAGCTGAGACTGTCCCAACCAACGGAGTCCTTCGGTTCTCGACTCGCGGGCATGTGTGGGGTCGCGGCGGCGGGGATGTACGGCTGCGGTAGGAATGTGGATCGATGCCGTGTATCCTGTCTTGTATGGCCCCGGCGGCAGCATGCGGCTCTTCTTGGATACTTACTAATATCAGCGGTTCCTAGTCTCGAAGGATGCTTCTTTCCCCTGAAGAATACACAGTCAGCAAATTCTTCAGCAGATCAAGAGGGATATAGAGCTTCGAAAGAGTTGCGTGCGGGAAACCAATCAACTTACCACCATGCATCTGAGCTCCGGGGGCAATTTTCGGAAGACCCTAGCCTCGACAAGCATGGCTCATTCAGCAGGTTGAGTTCGATCACCAAGAGTTGAGGCGATCTTGGGGCTCACAATCTTCTGCTTGCGGCGCGGGCTGGCCTTGGTCATCGAGGCTAGGAAACTACCTCCTCCTGGGTCGTCAGGCCGTGGGCTGGGGCGAGGGTCCGACACAGTGACCGAAGTCGAGTATTGCTATTTTATCAAGATCGAAACTCGAAGTGGAAATAGCCGAGCTGTTTTACAATTTGAAAGGGGTGTGAGACTACGTTTCAGGCCGCGTTAAATAGGCGCACACATGATGTTTATTCATTTACCGGTGTCGACAGCTGTGGAGCGTAGGTAACCTATGCAGACTTGTAACAAGCGTCATCTATCACAATGAATTCTGCAGCTGAGTCCATTGGTGAGTCCAAGGGAAGACTAGAAAAGCGAAGGAAAAGGGTACTAAATTGAGTAGGATGGATATGTTTTCCATTGAGTTTTTATGCTTGAACCACAGAATGAAAGCATACTGTGAACCAACTACGGACCAGGAATAGTCTACCAGGATTGGAAATTGGCGCAAGGGAAAGCTGGTTCCAATAAAGTGACATGATTGCCTTGACATGGCCATTCGGACTTGCTATTGACGCTGCCAATGCCAGTATCTACAGTCTAGCTGCATTTGGTAGTGCGGCATAGATCTTATAGGGCCATTTGTGGCTGTACAATTGTTAAACTGGAAAACTATTAGATGTCTAGAATTTTCTGCATCGTCATATGAAGCAGATAGCTTCTCTCACTTTCTTCTGATAACATTCCAAATCGATCATGCCATGATGCTACCTACCGTATGCTAGTCTGGTAGAGCCGAGACCAGAAAGCGTAGGCCGCTGTATGATGATTGCTACAGAAGGGTGGGGGTCATGGATCGATTGAAGACTCTTTGTAGTCCGTGAAGGAGGCTCAGGCGTCAAGATAACGATTGCTGTCGATTGGAGTCTGACGAAGAATAAAGGGGTCGTCTGGTTGGAAAGACATGGTTTTTTATAGAATCGTACATGCCGCTGGTTCAAGTCTGATACAAGGTGCCAGCTACTCTAACCCAATAGAGCTGGAATGAAAATAATCCCTCTGTTATATGAACGCAGCGCCGAAGAGGATTTCTGCAGACTCTAATTTGCGTCTCACGTAGAGAAAATCTGGCTGCTCTGTCGAGCGAACTTAAAGCTTCAGATGCAATACGGAAGCTTTCTTTTGACGAGCTTTATCTTCTAGTGGGTTGGTCATAGAAGTTCTCAAAACACCTTTTGTAACGTGCTGAGCTGTGGGGTCGAGTATGGTCAGCACTGGCATTTGAGATTTGAGAAACGAGGGAAAGCTTCCGAGACGCATCTTTGAAGACGCAAGGCGTGCAGGTATTTCTCAAGCTCGAGGGATTATGCATGTTATTAATACCCTCCAATTTGAACCGAAAAGCTAGAGTCATCTTCATAGAAAGGCATGAGTAGGCTGAGTGATAGCAGGGTAGTGAAGGTAATATTGAAAACGCTTCATTTTCTTCCCGAAAGTTTGAGAGCATGAGGATGGAGTATACTAAAGAGCTTGAAATGAGGCAGCCTATTATTCTTGAAGTGAGATTGGTCATATTAATCAACACCTTGATATATGTATACAGTATACAGGATCGCGTTTAGTTTTTTTCTGCCTTGAAAGCACGTAGGTAATTATAGGGTTCCTATTCGAAGCATAACGATTGACACTTGACGCTTGATGCTTAATGCTTGAAAATGAACCTGTTTGCTATTTGGTAAAACTAGATTGCACGATTTACCACATACTAACCGCTGCTAGATAGATCGAAAGCAACATGAAAGAAAGCTTAATTAACGACTGATATAGCAGTCCTACAAACGTGAGTTCCCTAAAGAACCCCCAAAACACCCAACGCTAACCCAGCCTTACAGATGACCCCAAAGCCGTGCTCAAAAGTCGAAATCTAGAATGAATTTGAGAGGCCGCGAATGTTCGAGGAGGATGTCCCCTGCTCGAATGTATGGGTAGGAGCGGGAATTATCAATAAGGGTTTGCCGATCAAAAGCAAGGGTAGATCAAGCGCCCCTCTTTGAAAGTAAACAAACACCAAGCCAACGGAAGAACGGGAGTTGGTAAGAAGAAGAAAGCAGCACACAACATGAAGAAGTACGCAAGAACTACAGATAAATATGCAATTCAGTGTATGTGAACTCTTACATTTCGGTATCTCCCCCAGCTCAATCCCATGTCGCTAACCGCCGTCCTAAACGCCAGCGCCCTATGCCACTCGCGCCTCCTCTATCATTCAAGAAAAAAACTTCAACGACTGAACCTAAATCACTTATTGCTCAAACTCCAGCACCTTCGAGGCGGTGCTCACGGTGCTTACACTCCTTGATCGCCCGGCATCGCCACCAGCTGGACTCAAAGAAGCTTTCTTAACCTCGCTCACGCCTTCCTGGCCACGAATACTCGCTGCTTCGGCATCTGCTCCTTCGAGCAAATCACGGTCTTCGGAGCGAACGCTGCGGCGTTCAGCATCACCGCTGTAGGCGCCGGAAGTACGTGCATCGTATCCCTCATCTTCATCCTCGTCTTCTTCGTGAGGTCTATGCACAGCGTTTTTCTCCATTTCCTTTTGTGCCTCGTCCATGCGTCTGCGGACTTCTGCTGCCACGCGCATACCATCTGTGACGATGTTGTCTAGGACCCCACGCAGCCCCTTACCAGGTGGTACAGCGCCAGCTGAGCTGTTACCTCCAACTCCGCCAAGAGCACTTTGACCTGCTGTGGCAGATCGGCCGAAACCAATGTTGGAAAATGTCGTGAGGCTTGACGAAGAAGACGCCGAGCCAGTAGCGACGTGTTTGTCTGAGATGCGAAAGGAAGCTGGGAACGAAGACTCAAAGAACTGCTCGAGCAGCTCGTCCGCTAAGACTACCATGCGGAAGGTAGGTAAAGTTATATGCAAGGGCTTCGAGGGGTTGAGTGCTGCGTTTGCTGCCTCTGCGTTGGCTCTGGAGGCGCGACGTTGGTCTTGAGATGAGTTAGCAGCAGAGGTGGGTTGTCTAGGAGGCCCTGGTGAGTTCTTGGTCGGTTTGAGGGCCTTCTCAGTGCCAAGGTCAAGGAGATCTTCCTCTTCGTCGCTGTCATCCCCTATCTCGAAGCTGTCTGGGTCATCTACCTTTGAGTCATCATTTTCCTTGTCCTCCATATTTTGGGGATGATCGGGATCAGCATATTCAAAGCAGCGTCTGATGAATGCACTGACGCTGCTCAAGAAACGCTCTTGTGTTGTTCCATGCGGGACTTCAAGGCTGTTGCTACTAGCTTCATATTCGCTGAGACCAACCATCGATCTGGAAGGCGTCAAAGATCCGGCTAGGCCACGCCGTGAGAGGAACAACAATGCTTCAGATATTCGGAGAATTCCTTCCCTGTCAACCTTTCCGTCTCCATCATCATCGTAGAGCTCGAAGAAGTATGTAATGCTACCCATGATGTCTCCTTTGCCCTTGATGTGCGCAATACCAGTCACAACATCCTGCAGCGTCAACGCCGAGTTCATGCCAACATCCCATCGTTGGAATAAGCGTCTCATGAACTCGTGGTCAGCTGGTTCCGGGTTTCCAACACCCCACGGCGAAAGAGAAATATCCCGCCGGCGGGCGCTGTGACCAAAGTATGAATGCTTCTCTTGGCCAGATGCAGGATCATTTTCCGGGGGCGAAGGAGAATCCGTGACGGCCCATTTCGCGATACCAGCAAGAAATTCTCGGAAGCCATCATAATCCATCAGAGTAGGACTGGGTCCCATGCCCACTCGTCCCTTTTCAATGCTTTGGGTCTCGGCCAATCCGGTCACGACTTCCGGAGCTCTAGCTTTGCTAGCCTTCTCTCGCCTGTCGAGTTCGTCCTGAATCATCTGGCTTCGTTGTTGCCGCTCATACAAAATCCCATAAAATCTATCATACAAGGCTCCCAGATCTTCAACGCTGAGTCGTTTACTATCTGGTCCCAGATTGCGTATCGAGGTTCGTTTCGCAAAGCTCTCAATATTGTTTAACACGGCGTTCTTGTGCTTCATACGTTGTTCCGAGATGCTATTTTGGGTAATCCCCGAGAACTCTTTGAAAGCAACGACCATCAGCTCTTGAAAGCGGGTTACAGCTCGTAATTTGGCGTTTTCTGACTTTGGATGTGCGGACTCGTCCAATTTCGAGAAGTAACTCTTCAAGACCGAAATGAAGGCACCGTCATCCGTGGCATCTAAAAGTTCTTCCCCGTTGATTCGCAAGATAGCGAGTCCGACCTGGAAAAGCACCTTTGGACCCTCCAAAAAGAAAACGTCGAGAACGCGGAATGCGAACACAAGCGGCATGGAATTGATGTACAAGGAAAGAAACCAAGGAAGAGACACGACAGAAAGCTGTACGTCCGACTTGACAAGATGGTCCCAAAGGATGGGCATGGTCTTTTCTACCAGAGATTCAAAAACCCGCTGATCCAATAGAGTGCCATACATCGTCGTTGAGTAATATCCGGGGAGCAAGCGGTCGCAAAGGGTGCGAAGCAAGAAAAATGCCTGGGTTTCAGACATGTAAATGAGGAGGGCAGCTACAACAATGTTCATAGCTTGGCAGTACCCAACTTCCTCGTCAATCCAACTGTATGCTGTGAGGACCCTCCTAAGACGCACAATTCCCTCTTCGCTTTGAAAACCAGGGTATTCCGGCAGACTTCGATTTAGATCCTTCTCGATTTCGTCAATCGCAAGAGATTCTCGTCCTTCGTTCTTTGCCAATGTGTCCACAAATAGTGTTGGTTCCTCTAGACGCAGGAACAGGGCCCCTGATGTCTGTTCCCATATTTCTCCACGCAGACGATTCGGCAATCCCACTCGGATGAGCTTGTGGAAAGTAGGCTGTCGTATGAGGGTAACGTTCCGTCCGTTTTCTCGAAGGTATTCCCCCCATAACCTCATCTTGCTCCTATCGCGCAGCTTCCTCGCGTCGCCTGGGTATCGAAATATCATGCCAAGTCCGGCGTCTGGAAGATCCGCAGTCTTCTTTTCGCCCGAGAGGAGATGCTCTGAGTAGCATTGTGAGACTACCCTCTTCAGCTTTCCCACATCTGCCACGCCATTCTTTAGGCCCCTCTTCAGCCCGTCGCAGAACCTCTCGCAAGCCTGCCGGGTACCCGCAAGCTGTATAGTGATCCTCTGCTGATTGACGGGGGGTTTCGGTCCTTCGGTCGCGCTGGAGCTGCCCACGCCATTCCATGTTGTGATGGCTAGAGCAAACTGGACACATTGTCAGTTTCTGCGGGCAGATGCAGGGCTGAGACAAGTACTTGGAAGCTTTGGCTATGCAGCCGCTCTACACGCCGGATGGCACATAATGGAAGGGTAAAACCATTCCCTCCGGGCCCAGCCCCATGTGTCTGGCCCGTAAAGCCCGAGGATGTGCTAGTGCTGGCGGTCTGCAGGAAGCTGGTGGGTTGCGTTGAAAAACAAAGGTAACTCTCGCTCAAGTGCAGCTTTCCTGCATAGTGATAGCCTCGGTCCCTGTCCCTGTCCTTCTCCCCTTGTGTAGCATTCGGAGAATAGGTCGCCGGTGGAGAAATGGTGAGCTCTGCGGTGATCTCTTGCAGTGGTGTCTGGGAATCGGGCAAGCGGAACTGATGGCGGAAGAGGGTGGATTTCGCTGGGTTCCGGTCGGATGCAGAGATATTAAGGGCTTGGGTTGGGTCAATGAGGGATTGAGCCTTCTGCACAAGGCTGCTGAGGTTGAACATTGTTCATGATTCTGCTGTGAGCATAGGCAGAAGTCTGGTTGTGATGTTAATGTTGGAGATTCGACGTTCAACTCTCGGCTGCTTGTCGATACGGTAATCCTGCCCTGGATGCCCGCACGAGCGCTAGCCAGCCACGGCAATACAGATACGGTACCTTAATTGATATCGACCAAGTTCATTTATTCAAGTACGGTACCGATTGCTATCTTTACACAGATCTGTTCAAAATGCCATTGTTTATTCGAGACTCTCAGAGTTTTTTTTTTCTACCCAACGATCAATGACAGGAACCGAGTTCTGAGGTTCTTTCGCTATTATTGAAACGGCATCAGTCAGTGCCCAGCCATCAATCTACTCCGCACTCTACCCCAGACACTTCTACTGCAACAAGTAAAAGTTTGATGCATTGCAAATTTCCTCATCTATAAGCAATGCCGATATCAAGAAGTGAACTTTTCAGGTGGATACATAAATCACCAAGTAACCCCTTTGAACAAGCCTCGCTGCCAACCAATTCGTACTGCTTAAGTGCAACCAGACACACATACCGGTACCCATTCCCTCATTCAAGCCGAGATCCCAAGCCGACCCAGATCCATTTCCAATCATGGATATCTTCAGGATCAGGTACTGTAAAGCGCATTCGCCTCGGCAAACAGATCATCACAGTCGGCTTTGTCCTGCTCTCCTTTGGCCTTGTACCAATCTGAAGTCGCCTTGATCAACGAGTCCGGGTAGTTGTCTTGGATGGCAGTCAACGAAGAGATGGTGGACTGGGCCACCCCGAGTGCTGCAATGCTCGTGACATACTGCTTCTTGGCTTTTATTGCTCCGAGTAACGTGAACGAATCTGCCCTTAGAATCCTGACAAAGGCCTCGAGATTCTCAGACTCCTGGTCGGTGATCTAGGCCGAGTCACGCAGTCGCAGAGTTTAGGCCGGAGGTAAGGCTTTGTTCAGACGAGAGGACGAGAGGACGGTATAGCCCTTAACATTCCTAGACCATCGGAAGAAGTCACCGTATCAAGATTAGCAATGTGTTTGGTCACATCCCAGAATTTGGGCTAGCGTCCAAGAATCTTCGGCTGAGCTGGTATGGCTTCTCAATATTGGCCATATCATTTTCGATGGTGACGGAGTCTCGTCTAGATATGAAAAGAGCGGTCTTAACTGGGATGAAGAAAAGCAGTGTCTTGATGACTGGTATTCGTTATGTGTTGAGCTGCCGAGAAGAGAAGAGCCACTCGAGGGAAGGAAGATCGCTTACATACCTACAACACTACACTCGTCGCTATTGTAGACGCTGGTCTTGGGAGTTGCGAGTGTGAAGTAACACAAATGCAATGCCATGATCGGCGTCAGCATTTTTGCATACACCGAACGTGTAGCTATCAGCTTCATCGCGAAACCATCGACTGAAGGCTTGGTTGAAGCTTTCCTTACCGGCAGAATAACGTGGAGCAGCAGTAGCAGTTACCAAGATGATAGATCAGCGAGAAGTCTCACAGCTCAAGGTCACCAGAAGCGCCTCAGTACATCGAAAGTACGCCTAGCATCACTTGTTTGGTTCTTTCAATTCATGACCCTCGCTACCCCACTAGTATCTCATACTCAAATCTCGCGCTCGTATGTTTCTGATGGATCTTCATAGGACACGATATATTCTCTTAATATTGGAGCTAATTGTTAGCAGCCTGTAAGCGCTTGTTATGACAATTCTTGTATCTTAGAAGTCCTTGCGACGTCTATTCGATTATGTATCTAAATAAGAAATTGAACACTCGATCGATCGATAACTTCGGCATACTTGAGCTCAGTAGCAGTTCACCTGAGCTTGCCCTTGCAATAAGTAATATGAGTAAACAAATGAGCACGTGCAAACGCGGGGTTTGGACGACGCATGAAGTAGGTACAGTACCTAGGTCGTCTTGTAGCACTCACCTACCAAATTTAGGCATGGCAAGGAGGCATGTCCCAAACCTCTTTACAATCCCTATATTGAAAAATATACTGATAATATACAGATCTTCTACCTGTTTAAGGGCCAGCCTCGGTCAAAAAATATCCCCAGCGACAACCTTCACCTCCTTGAGGCCAAAGGAGGATATGGACTTAGGGCTGCAACAAATATGCAATCAGTCACGCACCAGCTCACAAAGTCTCCAAAGATCGCAGACCGAAAGTACCGGACTCGAAGCCACCGTCTAAACCCGCAGAGCTTCGGATTGTTGCCCTACCAAGGCGTCCTGTTCCCCTTTTTTTGAGAAACCAGGCATCCAGAGGTATTGCTTTGGAACATTGGACATTGTGGCCCTGTGCCGACATGAGCCGTCCGTACAAGAAAGATGGAACATATATATTTGTGAGTAAAGACCACGACACCAACTACTTCGCCGACGGACTTATCGACGACTTCCTGTTAGTGCGCTGTATCTCCCGAGCGGCACTACCAAAATCGGGGCTTCCTAGGACCGATTTTAACGATGCACATGATGGATTCTGCATGTTGCTAAAAGGCGCAAGACACTTCGCCTTAGACCTCTGGACCTGGCTGGCGGAGACTGTCAAAGGCGACTGTTCATGGATGTCGCTACTGTGCGTTGCGTCTAATGAAGACCTGACGATCGTTATCAGCCCTCTTTTTCCTAATGGCGAGCCAAATCCACTGGCCAAGCATACACCGAGGATGAAGCAGATCACACCCGGGACAAATCGGGTCGAGACAGTTGACCTGATGTTACGCTATATTAAAGACAACCCAGACTACGCGGAGGATGCAAAGGCCCCAGATTCTTCGGATACGCAGATATTCAGTAATGGCTAGCAGGCGAGTGAGGAGCCTATAGGGAGTATATGCCTAATCTCAAAGCTCAGCAGTCATTCATGGACCCGATGATCAGGAGGACGATGGGAATGGAGACACGGACGAAGTTTACCTAGAGATAGTCCGAAGTCAGTGCCGGTATCATAGACTCAGAGCGACCTTAGAGAGTATGAGTTTCGAGCAGCATACTCTGCGGAAACAGACGAAAGGCAATGGGATCGCTTTCCCGGACTTCACAATCTTCTTGAAGGGATGGACTCGCTTCGAGTAGGCAGACTTTTCTTGGTCTATCACTGTGCTACCATGAGCCGAGGACTGGATATAATTTTGTTCAAGGCGCTGGAATTAGCGAATCAAATATCGAAACATTTGCGATGCTTGGCTTTCCGTCTACTAATCACTATAAGGTGTACACTCGTCCGAATAACCAGTCGGAACAACGCCAAGAAACAGCTTCGCAACGGCTCTTTCGAAGCTAGCAATACCAATAGCGGGAGCGATGTCTATGTCTGTATCAAAAGGTGTTTCTTGATTCATGGACGGATATTCTACAGAGTAGAAAAGGAGTGGGGAAAATTCCGAAAAGTCTAAGACGATGATCGGGTATTATTGCTTGAGTGCAGACAAGAAAAGCGCGCTGTTATACTCTTGAATGGCTTTAGCTATATGTACTATACACAACTGCTACGTAGTATTTATACTATATATCTAACCCTAATAAGGCAACCCTATCGACTGCGCTCCAAGCAAGTGCTAGTTGTACTTTATAAGATGTCGGAAGACGGTCGATACTATACAATTTTAGCAGGGGAAGCCGTGGAAGCTCATCTTCTGTATAGGTATCGAACACGAAACAGAGTGTCAGCAAAAGACAACAGATGGTATCCAGCCTACTTAACAGAGCCGGAGTACCGTAGACGCTCTACGTATATTACGTAACTTGACGTAAATGGCAAGCAGCGTATTTAAATCTCAAAGCGAAGCTTGGGAATGATTCGACCTGCGTACGTACAATGCAAGTAAGAATATATACATTATAGAGTGTTGAAAACACCTCCCCCTCTTCCTCTTGCATCCCTTCCTCCCTCTTCTTGCTTCCTTTGCTGCCCCCTCGGCCTGTTTTGCCTTTTCTGCTTCTTTTCTGCCTTCTTTGCTTCCTTCCTCCCCCCCTTCTCTCCCTCTTCTCCCTCTTCTCCCTTTTCTTTTCCTTCTTTTCTCTTCTCTCTCCTTTTCCCCTCTTCTTTTTCCTTCTCTTCGTTCGGGATCTCTCTTTAGACCTCTTGTACGCTCAGCTTAGGAGCTCGGTGAGGAATCAGGATGGTAAGGTCGGTGATGTCAACAAGGTTGGTAATATCGGTGATATCGACAAGGTTTAAAAAAATTCGAGAAAGAACGAAGGTCGAAAAGTAACGAGTTCTACAGCACTCTCCTCCATGAATACATGTCGAAAGTATAATTTTGCAAGGGACCTTACCAGGTCTTAAACCGATCAACTTACGTCGTATAAGGATTTATTCAGCCCTGAAGAGTATCTTCGAGCCAGTATTGAGTCTGTGCAATGGAGTTGACAGGGCTTGAAGCCATTTAGAAATCACCGCTGTACGATTTATAGAGCTGAACTGGGTCCGACATTTGTTCATGGGGGGATAGTAATAGTTACGTCGTAGCAGTTGTGTACAGTAGTAGATTGAGTCTCAAATCGCTGAGCTGCAGCAAGGTCCGCCGCGCCAAGGTTGAACTTCTGACGGCTCTTTCCGAATAAAAAGTAATCAGTACTCCAGCCGAGCCGTGTACGGAGTATGGTAAGCACTCTACAGTTTTCACTCACCCAACGAAAAGTCTCACCCTGTGTTTCTGATGGCTAAAGCTTAGAAGGCAGAGCCGACCAAGAGACCTCGGACAGCCGTCCGTGCCGGTACACCGCGTACTCGTAAGCATCTCCATGATCGATACTGGCGCACTGGACAACATCTCATAAGCGACCATGTGAGCACTCTTCTCTGGATCACGATTCAGGCACTGGTGTTCTGGTCTGGTCCACGAAAGGAGCATTCGGGCAAAACCGAGGGCACAAGTTCCCCCGCACTCCCCGCGTTTTATTTCTTACGTATTTTCACGGCATGTCCATCTCAAGGAGCGCGGCGAGCCGGTCTAGCCGGAGCCAAAACACGGAGCCCTTCTGATGACGTGCTCGAAGCCAGAAACCCTTTCTCACATCCCATCAGGCTTCGAGACTTTATTCTCGAATTCTGTATGGCAAGCGCGACGTTCAGTCCGTGATTGAAGCGGCCAGACTGTAACTTCAGATTCATTCTGTGCGTGTTTTCTTTAGCACTTTACATAACTTGCATTGCTTGTTTTGGAGTGGCGACCTCTGAATTTGAGGACATATCTTCTGTACGCTAGTATACGATGTGTCGATGATCCTGATCGGCTCTCGCCGAACAAAATAAATTTGATGTTCCCGTCGTGTCAACTTCCCGTAGACAATCTCCGCAAGACCCTTAGCCCTTGCAGATCCCCCGCATTTCCCCCCCTTTTGAGTCTCGACGGCATATCCAAACTCTATATCGCCTTGTAGAGTCGCTTTTCTCAAAGAGGAAGTCGACCTAAACTCCACCCTTCGCTTTCACCCGGCAGATTGCACACCTTTGCAAGTTTTGTTCCTGGCACCGGATAATGATCGGGGTCCAGCGATTCGACAGGTCAGTTCAATATCCTGAAACTTTTCCACCATGTCAATTTCAATCACCTTGGGCTTGTCGGCTCTTGCGGGCCTAGCCTCAGCACAAACTGAAGTGCCAAAATGGGTAAAGGGGCCAAAACAGCTCCTTCCGGATTGCGTTAAGGGACCGGAGTTTCAAACTCTACCAGCTGCTGTCTACAGTATCACTGATGTGCCTCTATAGCTTGCCAAGAATTCGGTTTGTGATGCAACGTTGACTCCCTAGGAGAGAGCAATGGCTGTAAATACTTGCTACCTTCATTGTTGACACGTTTTCCGCTAGCTCCCGTTCGAATGAGTATGTGTACTTGGGAAGTACATATACGTTACCAATCTGACGGGCTGGGCAGCCTGTCAATGGTCGCAACTTGCAACCAGAGGGGTCCCGTCTATCAGATTCCACCACATTTACGAACCTGGGGAAGCTTCGAAGCTAGAAGCTGATGGCATTCCTCGAGGACGCAGTAGGGCCGAAGGGCCACGGCAAGCGCACCAATTGACGTATGGAAATTAGGAGTGGCGATGGTCTCGTGTTCGTCCTTCCTGGGACGTACAAGAAGACAAGCTTCCGGCGGGTAGAGGCTTGGAAGGCTTACCAAGGCCTGGAAGAAGCCAGCTCCGATCGCCTCGTCTCGTGGTCCACTGTGTACGACGTATTCCTGTGTATAACAGAGTTGAAAAAGGTAAGGAAAGAGATATACAATCCACGGGTTGATTTGTCGATCTTTCCTGCTCGTTGTTTACTGTTTATATTTTCAAGGGCAGCAAAACAATCAAGCGATGCGCGGCTCGGGGCCAAAGAGCCCGCTAGCTGTATACAGAAATGACCGACCCCGACCCCGACCCCAACCCCGACCCCGAGCTGCTCTACCCCGCATTACCCCATTCCCCCCATTCCCCCCATTCCCCCCATGCCATCCCATCCCATCCCATCCCATGCGACTCTACCCCCTGCTTACACTCCTTATGGGGACAAAGACGCGGAATGACCTGCATCCTGAAAGAGAGCTAACAAGCTCTCGCGCACCAATCACGACCGACTGACCCGACTTGACTGACCCTATGCAGCAGCAGCCGCAGGTCAGATTCTCCAATGGAAGGTGGGACAAGCAGAGCCAGGCTGCCCTACGTGTAAACATCGAATCTCATATAAGGTCGGGCCCGTCCTCTTGACTGTCGATCCCCCATCTCATCCGCTTGTTCAAGCCTCAAGCCTCAAGCCTCAAGCCTCAAGCCTCAAGCCTCAAGCCTCAAGCCTTACTTAAGCCATAAGCCATAAGCTATAAGCTATCAGCTATAAGCCTCCTCCTCCTGCTCCCCTACGCTGTCCAGCCAGGAATCACAACACCGCCAGCATGAGCTCCAGTCCGCCAAAACCTGTGGTCGATTCCAAGAACGAGTCGTATGTCGGTGGCCCAGAGGTCGAGATGGCCATCTCCCAGGTCGAGCACGCCGACGATCTGGACGAGAAGGCACGCATCGCCGACTACAAGGCGGAGGCCGTCGAGGCGGAGAATGCGGAGCACAATATGGGAGTGCTCGAGGCCGTTCGGGAATATCCGATGGCTTCCTTCTGGGCATTCGTCATGTCCTTCACTATCGTAGGTTGCCCGACCCTCCTCTCATGACATTTGTTTATGGCATGCTTCGCTTCGCTTCACTTCGCTAAGCGACAGCGACGGCGAACCTCTTTCTCATCACTTGCCAAACGCGCCGCAACGCAATGCCATGGGCGTCTCTAGCTAATACCTTCCAAGATCATGGAGTCCTACGACGTGTTTCTCATGGGCAATTTCGTGGCTCTTCCACGGTTTAGGAAAGAATACGGCATCCAACACTTGAACTCCGACGGAATGCTCGACTGGGTCATCGAGACGAAGTGGCAGCAGGCCCTGCAGGTTTCGGGGCAGCTGGGCGCGCTGATCGGGGTGTTCGTAGCTGGTCCGCTCACCAGCCGCATCGGCTACCGCTACTCCACCCTGACCGGCCTCATGCTCCTGAACGCTTTCATCTTCGTCTTCTACTTTGCCAAGTCGCTCCCCGTCATGTTCGCAGCTCAGATCCTCGAGGGCATTCCGTGGGGTATCTTCATTGCCAACGCACCCGCGTACTGCTCGGAGGTCGTACCCATCAAGCTCAGAGCACCTGCTACGCAGATGCTTCAGATGTTCTGGGCCATAGGCAGTATCATCGTCGGAGGAGTCACTTACCGCTACAACGGGATCGACCACGACGACGCATACAGGTATACCGGACCTCGGTTGCGCGACTGTGAGTACCTACCTCGCTAACGAAGTCAACACAGGATCCCCATTGCGCTCCAGTGGATATTCCCCACCCCACTCGCCATCCTCATCTTCTTCGCGCCGGAATCTCCCTGGTGGCTCGTGCGGAAAGGCCGCCTCGAAGACGCCGCGCACGCAGTCGAACGTCTCGGCAGACGCTCCACGACAAAGGCCAGCGAGACGGTAGCAATGATGAGGCGAGTCATCCAGATGGAGCTGTCCGAAAAGACACCCGGCTACCTGGAGCTCTTCAAGGGCGTCGACCTCTACCGAACGGCCATCGTCTGCGGCGTCTACGCCGCACAGAACCTGACCGGGAACCTGATTGCCAACCAGGCCGTCTACTTCTTTGAGCGTAAGTGCCCCTCCCCCCCCACCCCCTATCTTCCCTGAACGTACAAGTATCGCTACTCGTGTCCCTCGATAATACATGTGGCACAACGAAAAGAAAAAAAAGTGCTCATTCGCATACAGAGGCCGGCGTCTCGACCAACACCGCTTTCGCCCTCGGCCTGATCACCTCCGCCCTGCAGATGATCTTCGTGATGCTCTCCTGGATCCTGACCACCTACTTCGGCCGGCGCAGCATCTACCTCTGGGGCTCCGCCGGCAACACCATCCTCCTGATCGCGCTCGGCGTCGCGGCCTCGGTCGGCGGGAACCGCGACGCCGCGTCCCTCGCGCAAGCCTCCCTCGGCCTCATCGTCTCCGTGCTCTTCACCCTCGGCCCGGCGCCCGCCTCGTGGGTCATCATCGGCGAGACGTCCGCCATCCGGCTCCGGCCCCTCACCACGGGCGTCGGGCGGGCGGCCTACTACATCGTCGAGATCCCCTGCATCTTCCTGGCCAGCTACATGCTGAACCCGACCGGCGGCAACCTCGGCGGCAAGTGCGGCTACGTGTGGGGCGCCACGGGCTTCCTCTGCCTGGTCACGGCCTACTTCTTCCTGCCCGAGATGAAGGGCCGCTCGTACCGCGAGATCGACATCCTGTTCCGGCGCAAGGTTTCCGCCCGCAAGTGGACCGAGGCCGTCGTCCACGAGCAGGACGACGAGTAGAATGGAGGCTCGGCAGATGCGTGGTTTCGCCATGCGTTGGCTGGCTTGAGCAATGCAGCATGTATATAAGATCGGGTATTCCCCGACTGGCGCACCACGAGTACTACAGCTACTACAGCTACTATAACTACTACAGCTACTGCAGGTAGTAAGTAGTAAGTAAGTAGTAAGCAGTATCCTCAACCCAGCCAAAAAATCAACCCAACCCAATGCAAATAAATAAATTCCTCACTTCGCTACGCTACGCTACGCTTCACACCTCACACCTCACACACGCTCCTCTCCTTCCTCTCCTCTCAGATCAGACAGCGCACATGAGAGGCGAAGAAGAAAATATCGTATCGTATCGACTCTGAACACTTTTATTTTTATTTTGGCCTGTGGGGGGGTTGGCGGGGAGGGGAGGGGGGTTGAGAGGAGGGTGAGGGGGGCTGAGAGGAGGGTGAGAAGGGGGTGAGAAGGGGGTGAGAAGGGGTTGAGAGGAGGGGGGGGTGAGGGGGGTGAGAAGGGCAGGGCATGATATATACTAGCAAGTCATTCATTCATTCATTCATTCTTTCATAGATACAGTAGATACGGTAGATACTAAGTAGATAATATATAAAAAAAAAAAAGAATAGGTATCTAAATTTTTTTTAAAAAAGGGAGAGTGGGGGAGAAGGCCACACTCAGAAGATGCTAAAATCAATCAACAACAAAACAAGCCAAGAGAAGAGAATCACGAGGCACGTTAATTTTTTTTTTTTTTTTTTTTTTTAATTTTCTTCTTCCTTTTTTTCTTCTTCTTTTTTCTTTTCCCGCCAAAAAAGATAAGGACACGCTTTTCTTTCCACTATGTATGTAGCTCGCTCGCTCGCTCGCTCGCTCTATCCATCCCGTTCCTCTGCCAAACTTTTTTTTTTCTTTTTTCTTCTCTCTCGCGCTGATTTGCTAAGGAGTGGCATTCATTCATCCATCCACCCTTTTTTCCTTGCCCTGCCCTGCCTTTGGGGAAAAAAAAGAAAAAAAAAAGAAAATAGGGCTCGTACCACCCAAGATCTTTGTCCGCCCGTTTTCTGATGAAACCTTCTTCAGCCATGCGCCACTCATTGATTCCTTTCTCGCAGCACACGATAGCTAGAAGAAGACTCCGACTCGGACTCGGACTCGGACTCAGGCTCAGGCTCAGCAGTAAGCGAGTGCCAACGAATGTAATGTAAGGTAAGGTAATGTAACGTAGCAAGACCGACGACATAGCTAGTTAACCACCCGGTCGCTCACAAAAGTGAAAGACACACACAACACGATTATCCCTCCGCCCCCTGTTGTCTGGGTCAGGGTCTCCACACATGCCTCGCTTCCTTCAAAGGCTGGTCGAAGACGCCGCAGTCGCAGACGAGAACGCGCTCGCCGATTCGGATAATGATGATGGCTCATCCTCTCGATCTGGAGGCGTCCAGCTCGCGAAGAGGAACGACGCACTGGCGAGGAAAGCCCACGTGATGAAACAAAACAAGCCGATGGCAAAATCCCCGCAGGCCGAGACGGACTCCGTCAGTCGGGCAAGGTGGGGTTTCAGGTAGAAATAGATTTTGATGTGAGGCCAGAAGAGAACTCGGTAGACTCGGAACCAGAGGGGATCCTGGGCGCTCCAATCCATGTATTGCATGAGTGGTTGGGGGGCTGGGTCGTTCGCAGGACCGTCGTCCGCGGTACCATCGCCCTGCCCAGCGCCACCACCCCCCGCCGAGCCGTCGTTGTTTCCCTCATCCTCCGCCCTATCTTGCCGCCTCTCCGCCATCTCATAATCGTTGGGGCCTCCCCCAAGACGAGGGTCAGCGGGGTTGACAGCCGCTGGTGTCGACGCTTGCATCGAAGAGGACATGGTGATTCCGGGTCGCGGATATGTATTCGATACAGCGAGCGGTTGGCGATTGAGGATTTGGTGAGAGGAATATTGATACGATGGATGATGTGATTGATATGAGTTGAGAAGAAGCTTGCAGGAAAGACGTCGAATTTTAGTAACCTGGCCGCGCAAGCACGTACGATCCCTCAATTTCTGCAGAAGCAGGAGCGGACACATGGTGGTCGAGGAAGTCGCCATGGGCTGCGGCAGGCGAGAAGGCAAGTATCGCGAAAATGCTGTTCTTTTGCTGCGACATTTGCGAGGCGAGATGCTTCATGATCACTGTAATTTTTATCAGTATCTTAATATCATTTATCTTGATTGCGTCTTTGCACTAGAAAACACCCCGAATAGTAAGAATAGAAGGTCTGACGAAGGGGTATTCCCATGATATATTCTACAAGATACAAAATTATGCAGTCATCCATCTGCCATTGATCTGCTTCTTCCGTACCTGGTACACGATTAGCATTGTCGGACAGAACCAGGCATGGACAGACTTACCATGGGCGCCACCACGAAAACGCCTACCCACAAAGCAAGAACCGTGCCCACCAGGCTCAGCTTATTGAAGCCTCTCCCCAGGATATCAAACGCCATACTGGGTGCCACTCTCGTACCGAAAACATCGATACCATACGCAAAGACTAAGCTAGTACTCTCCAGGATTGCTGGAGATGTAATCACATCCTTGACCCCAATGACCTCCCGCTGATGGCTGAGCACGATCTTAGGATCGAAATCAATGACGGGGGTGTATCTGAATAGACCCTCTTCTGCTTCCAAGGGAGTAGGATCCCGACCAACCGGTCTGCGCGGGTCGAGGACGGCTCGCGGGATGCCGACTATAGCATTCGAACCAGCAACAGTGCATAGAAGCTGGCGAGTGGTGATTCCCTGGCCAGTTTGAGTGACTGCCATGTGACTGATCGCTTCCGGAATGAGGAAAGATTGAGTGATGACGTGAGGCAGTGCTGGCTCTGCGTTGGGGATTCCGGAAGGTTCCAAGCTCGAGGAATTGCCCTCGGCGCCCATTGGCCCACGGTCGTTTGCAACCGCGGACTCGTAGAGGTCCGAAACAACAATCTGATACCCCTTCGAGGCGGGGAGTTCCGTAGTAGATGAGGCGAGATCGCTCCAGAGGGAGTAGGCGAACCAGTTCTCGGTGAGAGCAGATGCGATCGGCTGCTTGGTATCGACCCCCTCGTGGCTTGCTGAGTAAAGGACATCGCCAGAAACAGAATCTAGCAAGTAGAATGAGGCTGTAGAAGACTCGTCTGAAACGGCAGTGACAAGAACAATGTTTGGGTTCAGGTACTTGTATAGAACAGTTCGGTCGCCAAGGACTCGTCCGATAGAGGCTACCGGGTCATGAGCAGGTCTCGAAACGACCTTGACAACCTTTTGTCCAGATCCAGGCTGGAATGTCCACGCCACGACGGGAACTCCGTTACTTCCATTTTCTTCAAATCTGAGGCCCTTGACCTCACCGTTGTTTCCTTGCACCACAAGGTTCGCAGTGGGTACCCAGGCAATTGGAATATCGCCTGGGTTACCATCCACACCGATTGGTAGCAGCCAAGGGCCAGAGGGGCTATCAACCACGGCAGTACTCTGCACTGGAGGCCAAGATCCAGGCATCATTGCTTCTATATTCTTGCCAGAGGTTGTCTCCAAAACGACATACTCACCATCAGCACCCCGGATGGTAACGTAACCTCGTGTTTGCTCGACCCAGATACCCTTTACATCCCACTTACTGCCTGTGGGAATGTCAAACGCTTTCGAGTTCCATGCTATAGCTCCTTGGTTCCCGGCATCAATACCATACACACGACCACGTCTAGTGGCAACGAGAATAAGCTTGTTGAAGCCAAAACTGTCCCGAGTCAAGACCCCAGATTTAGGAGCAGCTGCGTCACCAGAAAAAATACTGCTGAGTAGCCGGGTTGGTAGTTTTTGCAGGTAGTCTGGTAGATATTGTAGGTCGTTCACATGGCGCTTGACGCGATGGATGTATGCAGACAGTGGATTGCTATGAGCTTCTGCTTCCAACGTCTTTGCCAAACTCTCGGACTGTGGGATCTCAGCCCATTGAGCGGCGACACCACCCGAAAGACCTTCAGGTCTGCTCCAGTCGATTACTCCATTGCGGATAAGGACCCAGTCTTCGTTACTCGATAGCACTGCGCAACGGACCGAGTAAGTGTCCGGGGTGCGCTGAACGACTTCTGAGGCACCATGGACGTAAGTTCTGGAGTCTGAAGAGGCTTTCATCGGCCAGCTTCCAAGAATTCCATGAGAAACCGACGATACAATGATCACTTCATCTTCCGTAACTCGTGTGAAGTAGACATTTCCTTCCTGCGAACTGACAGAGATTGCCCCTTTCCCACGAAGCTTTGGCAGCTCGTACTCCTTTTTGATGGCCCAGGTCTTGAGGTCAATGTGATAGACGTCGGCTCGGTTGGAGGTTGCAGAATGGCTATGCACCAGGAAATGCGGGAGTGACTGAACCAGATTTGGAGCATGAATGGAGACCTTGATAATCTCTCCGTCAGACTCCTTCAACGGGAGACTCTGAAGACTGGATGCTTTGCCCAATACATTGACCTTGAGGTTCTTGAACGCCTTATCGGTCCAAGCAATTATCGGCAAGGCAGAATTTGCGCCAACAATAAGGACATCCTCAGCGGTGTGAACATCTCCCTTGGTATTAAGGATGTAGTCGGTGATCTTTTTCCCAGTTACTGGATCCAACGTCGTAACCTTCAGATTGTATGCCCCTACCGATCCATGGAGAGAAATCACAAAGACATTCAGCACATCCGTGCTCACTTGCAGCGGGATGCCATCGCTATGGTCTTGATACTCCCATGCCACATCCCCATTCCGCCCCTTCAATTTCCGTAGCAGTCCTTTGCCGTCCTCCTCAAATAGAGCCAGGATGTCCTTGGGCTTGTTATCGCGGGCAGCGGATTCCATAACCTCCAAGTCCTTTACTGTTCCAGGAAAGATATTTCCCCAGCTTTCTCTGCCACTCATCGCATCCCAGGCATCAACTCTCTGCCCTGTTGCAGAAACCACGAGATTCTCGCCCTCCACCGGCCTCAAGAGTCCATTGTCTCCGCCCACGACCTGCCTCCATACCACCTTCCCCGTCCCAGGATGTACCGCTCCAAGAACTCCCAGATCGCTCAAAGTGTATAAAAGTGTCGCTTTCTCGTCTATTCTCGGGCGATGGAAGAACGTGTTGTGAGCTTGGGGGAGACCGATTAATTCGTAGTGGTAATCAACGACGTACGCTTCGTCAGCGAACACAGCGAACGTGCCAGGCAGGATTGATAGCGTCAAGCTCAGTAGATTAAGTGGAAGCCGCATATTTTCAGGATGAATCGAGGCTGAACACCTCGCTGACGGCCTCGAACTTGCTATCTGGAGCTTTGGCGGTTGATAGTCCGGTTGATAGTCGCGAGTACGGTGCGCTGCGGCAACCAGACACGTCATATTGATCACGTGCTGCAAGTTTTATCTCATCTTTTTTTCTTTCTCTTTTTTCTTTCTCTTTCTTTTCTTCTTCAATGGATACAATTTCAGATACTCTGAACTGACTAGTCCTCGTCCCCAGAATCTCAATTGGAGCCACCTAGAGGAGCTGTGGTGCATGATGCATCTATCACAGAAAGGTATTCAAGCTCCATCGTGGCTTCTAAGTCGACTCATTGCCACTAGTTTAGAGCCAGATAATTAATGCATAGCTCATTTGCATGTTAGAAAAGACTTATCGTAACATAATGGAAGTCTAGAGCGAATCACATTTCCTGATAGGTACTCTCCAAACAGGTTCTCACCACACAGTATTGTCGTTAGTAAGCGAGTCCCTGCATGACGGGCCTTGAGTGTTAGGACCCGTAGACAAATTTGAGTGAAAGTAGGAGTATAGATGTTACTGAGCTCACTTCTCATGTATTGGAATTGGGAGGGACATACTGGGCTAGGCGTACGTGAGAACATGGGGCAATCGATTCGGGAGAAGATGTGTTTTGCAGAAAAGGATGTACTTGTACGGCACTAGCTAAATAAATGGTCTTTGCATCGACCAGCCACGAGCTGTATAGGTTTCGCAACTTGCATAGTATCATCAACCATCTCTACACAGCTGCTAGACTTACTGGCCCGTTGTGTAGCAACGCCACGCTGTTGATCTCCACCCAGAAAGCACTCTTCATCCACCAGCCAAAATCATCGTACAAGTTAAAAGAGCAAGTAAGACCATGTGACCCAATTTGGGATTCGGTTATTGTCCACACAGGTATGGTAAAGGTAAAATAGGACGCCAAATTCCGTGCTCTGCTGATTACCTCTTCACGAAAAGGCACCGGCAGCATTCTGCAAAGTCGTACGAGGTACTGCTTTGGAAGGATCTGAACATCTAGGTCTTTTTAGAGGTCGTGCGGCTACGGGTACGTCGGCCTTTGGAAGTGGAAGATCTGAGATTTGAGATTATCCCGTTAGCATTTCCTGTATTCAAATCTGACATTGCAGGTTGTCTTACGGATCTTTGACCTTATCGGCGGCATCACTAGAACTCGTCAGCAGGCGCTCTCAGAAGATTGGTGTATCCATTACCCAGATCTTTCACCATTCCTAGCGATGGCGACTGCAGAGAGATCCTCCTCGGTAGCTTCGGCTTCACCTTGCTCCGGGATGTGAGTCTTCATAGAAGAACCTTCAGTCATACCAGGCTTTGATTCGTGAGCCAAAGCTGGTTCTTCCATAGGCTCATTCTTGACCGCCTTATTTCCACTCTTTTTTGACGCTGGCTTGACTTTTGCAGATTTCACAACAGGATCGATACCGGCGTTCTGGTCGGCTGGCTCGGCCTTCACAGCCTTCTTTGAAGACGCGCCTTTCTTGGGGGCGGATACGACAGCAGGAGCGTCGGCATCCTCTTCGTCCTTGATCCGTTGATCAACGGCTCCGGAGATTTCTGTATCCTCTCCCTTCTTCGCACCCTTCTTAGCCCGGGGTTTCTTTGCTGGCGGTGGCTTGACCTCAGCAGCCTCATCGCTGTCCTCTTCCTTCTTGACTCCCTTCTTGGCTCGAGGCTTCGATGCTACCTTCGCCGGCTTCACATCTTCATCGTCTTCCGGGTCCGCCTTCAAGTTCTTCTTTGTTGCTCGCTTTTTCTTCGCTGGAGTGGCCTCATCTTCATCGTCTTCCGGGTCCGCCTTCAAGTTCTTCTTTGTTGCTCGCTTTTTCTTCGCTGGAGTGGCCTCATCTTCATCGGCTTCATCCTTGACCCGCTTCTTGCCAGTCGATGAGCCCCCAGCCAACTGTTCATTGAGGTCAGCTCTCGCAGTCGTACTAGCAGCTTCTCGCTTCGGGACGGTTGCTCCGTTGGCGCGTAGCATGGCTACCTCATCTTGCAGAGCGGCTATTTGAGCTCTCATTTCTTCGAACTCGTGGGTACGTGCCTTTTGATCATCTTTGATTTTCTTCTTACCCTCCTTCGTGCGAAGCCCAACGGCACCCAGGACGTTCATCTCAGGGTCCTACATTCCATAGTTGTTAGTTGAAGAGTGCTGAGGCTCCGGGCGACGACCATTAGCAAATAAATGACTTACTCCATTGAAGTCCTCTGCATCAATGAAACCCTGGGTGATGCATCTTCGGACTTTTTCTTGGAGATCGGGATGCTTTTCCAGGCTGTTCTTCTCGACACCCTCGCTGTCGTAGCCGTCAAGCGCGTCCCATCGGTATGTTCCAGGTGCATCTGGATCGGCAAGAAAGGTGCGTATTCCCTCGAGAACTTTGCCAGTCACGCATCCCCAGTGACGCCACTTCCACGATTCATGATCTTTAAATGACACCCACTATAGCAACTAGATCAGCGCTCGTCCTATATCAGATTTTAGCGTCCAACTTGCCACGCCCAGACGGAGCTCATCCTTGTCAATCTTGATGTTAGCAGCCTTACACTCAGTAGAGGTACAGCCGGCGCGACCGGTCGAAGCCGTTTCTGGTGGAAACAATTAGTCGTGGACATTCCATTCTTTAGAATTTAGAGTATTCCAAGATCACAATACTCAGGAGTCGTTTTACGACGCGTATGATAATCACGTGCCATCATAACAGGTGGTGGAATCCAGCATAGCAGAAGGAAGTCAGTCGGACGTGAGGGTATCAACTCACCAACTCTGTACGACATCTTGCTTCCTGGAAGCCGTGGCTGGTTCTTGCGTCAAACGCGGTTGATAGAGGACAGGGTAATTTAACCTGCGCGCGCGCGACTGGGAGTTTGCTCCGTAGTATGTTGTTACGTACACGTACCGGTAGTACCGGGCGATCTGTGGATACCAGATAAATGTCAGGTCACGTGAGAAGCTAGCAGGGTGAGAAAATGAACAGCGCTGATTGAGTGCAGCCGTCAGAGCTTAGGCCGTGGAGGAATAGCAAAATCTTGACGAATAGCTTACGGTAATCATCTCATGGAAGTCATAATAAATTCTTAATAAATAATAGAAAGGGAGAGTCTGGTTGCAACACAATGCTGAGCTTCGTACGGCCCCGGTTTCCTCGGCTGACTTTCATAACGAGGTCAAAGTCTAAGGCTTAGAGTGGCTATTGGCCGGTCTTTGCTGTCCGGCTCTAAGCCGTTTGCAATATCGTCTTGTACAACGAAGCTACGATCGTAGGAAGCGTGATTACCGTGTTTGATTGACCCAGAGAGATATGCTCGACGCCGATGATGCTCCTGTCTGGATAACTTTGAATCTAGGGAGGGCGCGAAAACAAACGACAGGGCCATTAGCAGCCTCTTTGGTCCAGAAACTGCCGTCTCTGTTGAGGAAGCATGTGTTGTCTTTGGCACCCGTGGAAGCGAAGCAGAAGCAGCCTCGAACGAGTCGACTTGGTATTCTTTAACCTGGTATGCTTAGCCGACTTCACGCTTGATAATTTCGGATTCCTCTTGCATCTTGAACTTGCAGAAGTGGTTTCATACTCGTCCTTGTCATCCTCCTAATACAACACGGCTGTCTTAGCGGCTTTCGATCTGGCGTCTGGACTTCTTGGGCCTGGAGGACATCACTGGGTTTGGATTCACAGTCTGAACACTAAAAAGAAATAACGAAATCGGTAACAAGATCTGTTACGACTTTTGCCTCCATGGTGATCGCTAGTACATACAGCTTGCATCTCCTTGATCTTGTTCTTGCCCTGATTGTGTTTACGGGCAAATATGCTGCTAAAAAGCCACCCGCCACTCCAAATCCACCGGCCATACCAATGGCACCAGCCAGAACTTTCCATGGACCAGATGAAGGTGTCAGCTGTGACGGCTGAAAATGTCTTCCTTGCGATAGCATCAGCAGCAACGCCTCTGGTTGCAACCTTTTGTACAGCCATGAAAGCCACGTCGTCTATCATAGACGCTTCAACAGTTAATCCGGCAATTTTAAGTGCTCCTATTGCAACTCCTATTCCTGCGAGAATTTTCAGAAGTCCTGCCACTGCAGCGATTTCGAGCCAATTATGGTACTTCAGCCCTCGGTTACTGGGCAATCGAACAATCAACAATCGCGGTCTTCGAGTGTCGAACACAAGGTGGTATCTCTCTATAAACTTGAAACATGAGGGAGAGGAAACGACAACGAGCTCAAAAGCCTGCTAGTCCTTATTTTGCATCGAGCAACACCGCGTCTCACGTCCGGGATTCCTTCCTGTAGCACTCCCACCACCACCACCAAGCAGATTCCCGAAGAAGCGATAGACCCACTATGGATCTGCTATGCAGGCATGCAGCCACTATGACACAACTACAACGTACTTCTCTACGAGTCTACAAATTCAAAAATAGTCACTTAATCAATCAAACAAAATCTCAGATAAATCGCTGTTTCGCCTCCTCCGCATCCTAATCAATTATCTAATATCCTCGTCTTCTTATCCTCCATTTTCCATTCTACAAAAGCCTCCATGACCGCTCTTTACTCCGCACTCAAAAAGTGAAACCTCGTCTTTCAGAGCTCCGATGAGTCCTGAGCAACATCTGCCTCTCGGTGTCCGAAAACATTCTCGTGCAAGTATTTCCAAAAGATCATATCAAACGCCTAGCTGTGCCTCGCAGCATATCGAGCCAGAAGCGGCCCGTCCGTTTCCCAGCTCTTACGCATGCACGTGGACAAGACTAAAGGCACAGTTTCAGAGCCAATTTCGTTCTTTTCTTTTCGGCGGTCTCTAGCGCCGACAGCCAGATCTGCAACCACAGGTCGTAGACCTGGGTCCAGTCGTCGATGTCCGGTTTCCACATCTCTGGAACTTCAATGACTAGCCACCAAGGACAATCAAGGATGAACTGCGTAGGTCCTGCCTAGGCAAGTTCTCAGTCTATCACTGCGGCTATGTCGTCAGAGTCGTTAACGAGGATGTTGCCAGTACGAGGATCTCGGTGTGTTTCCTTCTCGTAGAGTCTTCTCGCATGACAACTGAGCCCAATCGGGGCACGGAAGCCGAACATACACATCTGGAGTCAGTCCCTCAACCTGGATCCGGTACAAGATGTTGTATCCGCTGATGAGCAAAGGGGGCTCGAATCTTGCTTTCCTCCCGAACTTCTGCGCCGCAAGGGACGCTGCAAGTTCGCTGGTGCCCGTCCTTCGAAGGCGTTTCTGGGATATTTCCGATGCCTCGTCGCTCTTGTCCCAGGCCAGATTGTCTTCTGAGCTGTGCTCTCGCATCGCGGTTCACTGTGTATAAATCCAAGACTCGATTGAGTAAGCCGATCCTTCTTTATCGATATATCAGTTGCGGATCGCTCGATTATCAAAGTTCGCTTAGAGACAACAAGGAAAACTGGATGTCCCATCTAAAAATAGCCACACCGGTGAAGACGAACTTACCTGACTACGGACTTTAAAACTTTGGGCTCAAGAACTCCAGTCCGTCAGATTACTTCTCTCCTTCTTCTTTTTTTCCCGTAGAGCTGCTCCTCAAGACGCTACAATACGGAGTAATAGAAACATGCCGAGCACCGTCGCCAAGCCCGCCTAGTCATCCCGCCGCTAAGAAAAACCCGACTTTCCCAACACCAAGCCCGTTATTCCATACTCAGCCATCCCGCTCAAACTCTCGTTTCTCGTCTACAGAATCTCCGATTCTAGAACGCAGGAATCAGGAAGTGTACGCAAGCAAAATGCAAAGTCGAGATCGCTTCGTCAGCAGCCGCTACGCCCAGAATTTTCCAGCGTGGAGGGTAAACAGAAATAAGCGAGAGATGCAAGGATACCGGCATTCTTTTGCTTTGTACTTTTTACTTTGCTTTTTACTTTTGCTTTCTGCTTTTTCTCTTGCTCTTGCTCAGCCTACTTCGTATTTAGTTTTACTTACCGCTCTTGTCCGTCTGTTGTCTTGGCTTGATTTAGTATCTCCATACAGCGAGAAAGAATTATATTTGAAGGGATTCCTTCAAGGTGTTGTATATTCCTATTCCCAAATCTCCGATCTCCAGTCTCCAATCTCTTTCCATCCAGCGCATCGGCTTTTCCAAGCTTAACCTATCCATCGATTTCATTAGAGAAACAAACAAACAAACAGCCAAGCGAAACAAGCGAGACCTCAATTACCATACCCAGGCTCTTGTCCATCCATCTCCTATCACACCCACCACCTCACCTTACCACTTACAAACATCTACCAACATATCCCGACCACATTTCAAAGAGCAGCCACACCAACACACCAGCAAACACAGCAGCAACACCAACCCCCTCCGCGAAAAAGGACCCAAAATCCAACACCACACACCACACAACACCCACCATCAATCCACCCATCCAAAACCATGTCCAGCACCTCTCTAAACTACCACCTAATCTACTGCCCCCTCATAATCCTAGCCTCAGCCTACCGCTCCGCCCACAAGACACTATCGCGTACCCCATCCTCCTCCTCCTCCCCATCCTCTCCATCTTCCCCATCTCCAAACCCCCACACCCAACCTCCAACCCAACCGCAATCCCCCGAACGCCGCCTCCGCAGCCAACGCCAAAAACGCCTCCGATCATCCGGCCCGCAGCAGCTGTAGGCAGGCAGGCAAGCAGGCAGGCACCATGCTCTACGGACCATGCCCCATGTACCCATGTACCCACCTCCCTCTCTGATGGACAGCGCACGAGGCGATAAGGAGATGAGGGTCTTTTTTACGCTTTGCTTTACTTGCTATGCTGGCTTTACTATGCTGCCATCATCAATCTTTTCAAAGTGACAGAACGAGAACGAGAACGAGAACGAGAACGAGAACGAGAAGAGGGATGGGGGAAAAAAAAGGAGGGGCAAAGCTCAAGCAAAGCGTCGGAAAGCAAGCAAGCAAGCAAGCAAGCAAGCAGAATGAATCCCCCTCCCTCATCCTCCCAAAGATTCCGAACGCTATCGCTAATGCCAACGCCAACGGCATGACATGCCACGCTATGAAACACCCACACTAACAGCGGCACCGACAGAAAGAAAGGCCTGTCATTATCTGTCATTTGGAATAGGTACATGGGGGGGAAGCGAGAATCAGTCAGCTAGTCAGTTAGTCAGCCAGTCAGTCTTCAAGCACATGAGCAGGACAAGCAAGCAAGCAGCGACGAAAAGCGGCAGGCGCAGAAAGGAAAGAAGAAAGTAGAGAGATATGTATCACAACGATAGCAAAACCCGACAACAGAGCGAGGACGAAGGAGAGAGAGAAAGGAGAGAGAAACGAGAGTAGAATTGCTTTCATCGCCGCCTCTTCGTTCCTATGCATATGCCAAGACTGTTGTTATCCATTATGAATTACCTACTCTCTTCTCCAGACCTCCTCCATTTCCGTTCCAGCCCCGGAATTTTGCCGCTTGAACCCCGCCCCCATACCGCCCAACCTTCCCAGCCGTACAAAAAAGAAGAGATCAACCAGATTTTGTTCTTTGAATCGAGAAAGCCCTTTTCTCTTTTCTCCTTCCTCCTTCCCCTATTCCTCTCCTCCAAATACCCATGATTTTTACAAGAGAACCACCAAGAGGTACAACAATGAAGGAGAGAGAGAAATCCAAGGAAATGAAAAAATCAGGTATCGTCTGGAGTTCTTCCGCTCATGTATAACCTCCCATCCCATCCCATCCCATCCCATCCCATCCCACCCATCCTGCCAGAGCCACCGAACCAACCAAACTGAACCAACCAAACCAAACCAAACCAAATCAGACCAAACCAGACCAAACCAGACCAAACCAAACCAAACCAAACCAAACCAAACCAAACCAAACCAAACCAAACTAGCAATTATCACCTCCCCGCCTACTATTGGAAACCGACCCGAGAAGCCCCAAAGCCAGACCAATGACTAAAACTTCAAGGGAGGAAAGGCACTCCTCCAAAAGCTGACAGAGGGAAGGCTCCACCAGTCCTGCCTTTTGAGCAGAGGCAAGCAAGCTCCCATGAAAACCTATCCGTCCAACCTGAACATCCGCCTCAGCGCCCCAAACTTCTTCTTCCTTCTCGCCCCCCCCTGTAGCCTAACAGCACTGATATCCACCTCGCTCAGCCCCGTCGCCGTATACCGGCGCGTCCCGACGCCAGGTCTGTCGCTGCCGTTGGGACTGAGATTCAGATCGGCCAATTTGTCACCAACGCGCACGATGCCATTGCCGCCGTCAGAGGTGGATGGCCGGCCGCCGTCCACGGTTTTCATCGGCTGATTTTCTGTGGGTAGTGGCCAGGCGCCGCTGTTCTCGCGACTGAGTGGATTGCGCTTCTGCAATCTGGGAGACGAGACCTGCGATTCCTTTTCAGGGACGCGGAGGGCTTGCAAATCGGATTTTTTGCGCTCTAATGGGGTTTCTTGTCGAGCAGAGCTTTCTGCGTTTGACTTCTGCACGCGAGAGGCAGCGTCTGGTTTCTTACGGCGAAGGATATTAGAAACGAAACTGCTTCTTTGTCGCGAATTTGATTTTGTGGGCGGAAAGTCTGTGGCGGCGGGGAGAGAAATAGTGCCGCGGCCTGAGCCTGATCTCTGTATCGTGCCTTGGCTAGGAGCTGCACCATTGCTATTGCCGTTTTGTTTCGGGGTAATTTTGGACTTCTCATCGTCGCTGTCAGGCAAGTCACTAGAATCCCGGTTCTCAATGCCAGAGCCCTTTGAAATTCCGCGCACCGGGGCGCTGTGGCGCACTCTACCGCCTACAAAAGAAGCAGGAGCGGGGGCGTCCTCGTCGGAGTCGTCGGAGTCGTCAAAGCGGCTTTTGAAGACGGGTCGGTCATCTTCTTCGTCGCTGGAGTCTGCGAAACGGCTGGCGAGGCGACGGGTTGGCTTTTGCTGGGTTTTTGCTGGTGCCGAACGGCCGAAACCACCCTTGCTCGAGGCTGGCTTATTTCTCATCGATGGGGTCGTATCGTAGGAGCTGCGCATAGAATTGCGCATATGTGTTTGCGGAAGATTGGCTTGTGGAGCGGGATTGAACGAGCGGCGGAAAGTGGAGCCTGTCGGAGATAGGGAACGAATGCTGAATCGACTCGATCGTGTAGGTGAGCCTGGTCGTCGAGCTGACGAGTTATCAGCTGATCCTCGCATGGAGCTCCTGAAACTTGGAATATCGTTACTCCTGTTGCCGGGTCGCTTGAAGCTGCTGTCACTATCTGCTGAGCCGCTCCTGGGGCGAATCGGCTTTGGTGTCATATCCCGCGTCGCGGCATCTTGAGCAGCTGCTGCGCTTGCAGCCGAAAGGGTTCTAAGGTGACCATTCCCAGTTCGTCTGCCTTCGACGGCAGATGATGACATGGGCCGGACCCTCTTTTGCAAATCTTCTTTGTGCTCCGTCTCGGCACGTAGCGAAGCCCGCATTGACCCAGGTCCACGCATCGACTTTCGAATGTGAGGATCCTCGGCAGAGCTGGAAGGTTCGGCACGCATGGAGGATCTAAGTGGAACATGTCCACCTGGGCCAGCCTTCGCACCAGGTGTGATCATGTAAGTCCTTCCGTTGCCGATTGACCTTTGACTTTCTAATTCTACTGGCACAGGTTGGACAGTAACCCTTTTCTTTTTCTTCAAAATCGAAGCTGGGACTGGTTTCGCGTCGGTCTCAGTATCGGATCCTTCTGCTTCTTCGCGAGCTTCGTCTTCCAATTGACGCTTTTTCTCGGCGGAAAGAGTGCTCCAGTATGCCTGTACCTTCTCCCATCCTTGATCCATGCCTGGCTCACTTGATTTTCTTGACAACTGTGACCTTTGGTAAGCCTTTTCCTTAGTTTGTTTCGTTGTAGGGCTATCGGGAGGTGTCGAGATGGCCAGACCAGGTATCGTCGTCGTCTTGGGAGCAGGACTGTCCGCTACAGCATTCAAAGACATGAACCCGTTGTCGTCGGCGTCTGAGAAATCTTCAGCCGCATCGGAGTACACGTCGGCATCTGATTCTTCGGGCTCCTCTAGAATGACAGGATGTGCAGCATAAGCAGCCAACTCCCCCAATACAGGCGATCCAGCACGTGGCGTCTCCAAGTCTGGCTCCGCAATTCCCACCTCAGCAGGCGTTGGTTCGGTAGGGTGGTGCTCGATGATTGCGTGATAGTTATCGTCTGGCCCCCCTTGACTGCCAGAGTAGGAATTTGATCTGTCCCAAGCACCAGGCATATCTAGCCACTCTCGGTTCGCCTCTGTAGTTTCCAAGGTTGGTGTTGCCGAAAGTATAGCGATTCGTGGAATTTCAGACTCAGCCATAGCCTCAAATTCCCCCTTGTCAGTGGAAGTTTGACTTTCGGGTTCGTGTGGGATGGGGGAAGCAAGTGCTCTGTAAGTATCCGCATCCCCATCTTCCGGTCCACGCCTGACACTGTTGCCGCGAGTGAGGCCGACATTCCCATTCTCTACGCTATACAGACTGCTATCGCTGCCTGAGTGGTAGCCGTTGCCGTCCGCCGAAGGGACCTTGGCAGGCAAAGGCTCGCGGGACTTTGAAATGTTTGCAGTGTTCTTCGATGCCGCATCTTGGAAAATTACAGCTCCTACATTGTGATCATCAGATTGTCCGAGCTGGGTTTGAATGACCTCGCCAGTGGGCGGAGTAAAAAGTGATGGAGAACCCGGAGGCGGAGCTTCGGAGGCTGGCTTCATCAGGGGTCGCTCTTCCACCTCTCTCGCATGGATCTTTTTCTCTCGGACACTTCCGAAAGACGGCAGAGCAGGTCGCGGCTTCATGATCTCGCTATCGTCGTCGTCGACCTCCGCAGTCTCCTGTTTCTTGCTGCGCCCAATGCTAAACCATTGGCGCTTTGTCTGAGGACCGAGAACAACTGGCGAGTTCGTAGTGACTGATGTAGCTGCTTGCCCAACATCCACGTTCGTCTCATCGAAACTGACTCGATTGGTCCTCTTTCGACTGGGCGCAAGGACTTCGGACTGTGCGCCCGAGTCATTTGATGCTTGCTCATCGATACCCGAGCTTCCTTCGTTGGGAGATGGTCCCCGAGGGGAGCTGGAGTGCTTCAATGCAGATTTACGAGGTGAGGAGGACCTCTCGGGAGGGTCGTGTTTTACCATCAAGCTCTCTTGTGTGGTTGCAAAATGCGCTGTCCGCATTAGGCTCACCGATGCCACCCGACCTCCTCTGACGCTGCCTCGTGAAGTCAATCCAGTGTCACCCATACCGGGTGATGGTGGGCTCGGAGCTGGCTGGCTATGAGATCTTGCTTGCGGTCTCTCTTGTACCAAGGCACCCGATGCCGATGCCTGTCCTCGCCCTCTTCCGGCCATCGATCGAGGCGGCGGCGAAGGCGACATGTCCCACGGCTCGGAACCAGTGTTCAGCCTTGCAAGGTTACTTGTGGCTTGCCTGGGTTTGTCATCCTCTTCCTCCTCTCGCTCCTTGTCCTCTCTTACCATTGATGGCCTTTTAACCAGCATCGCTCCCGCCCTGGTATTGTATTGTTGCGCACCAGAGTCGCTTTCATTGTCGGAATTCGGAACGTAAGTCCCTGCATCACTCTCAGAGTCGCTCACAACAACCCTTTTCTTTTTCTTGTTCTTGGGCGGAGCTGCTGCCGCTATCTCGGGCGCGGGGGCTGGTATGGGTGCAGGTACCGGTGCTGGCGCTGCAATAGGGGTCGCTGGTACCACATGTTTTGACTGCTCCGCGGCTTCCAATGCATCAATGAATGTCCCCCTCGGTCTTCCTGTTGCCGTTGCCAGCCCCTCAGCTAGATGCGTCCCAGCTGTCTGCGGAGGCCTCTTCTTCTTCTTGACTGGTTGCTGTGCCACACTCTGTATGTTCTGTTCAATTGCGAGTACCTGAGCTTCCGGCAGAAAACTACGCGTATTGGGGTCATAGACCAGATTCTGGTTAGTAGGAGAGACAATGCGTGCAATATTTGCCCTTTGAGGTGACGGAGATGTTAGCCTTCTCTGTGTCATGGGTGACGCCGACCTAGAACCTGTAGGCAATGAGAAATTGACGGACCCTCTGCTTGCTGGACCACTCATTTCTGACAAACTGGACATGTTGGACAACCTCCGCTGGCCGGCTTTCCTGGGAGGGGTCGTCGTGGCTCCAGGTCCCAGGCTGGATCTGCGACCATTACCCGGGTTTGAAGGGGGGGACAATGCTCTCATGGCAGGCGCTTCCACACTTGCTGCTCGCCTGTGCGATACAACAGGTGCAGATGGCGGCAGCTGCTGGACATTGCTCGGGATAGCTGGGACGGGCGGCGCATCGATTGCGCTCGGCACGGGCGCTGAAGGCGACGGTTCCCGAAACGTTCGCTCTGTCATGGAACCGGAGCTTCCCCGTCGTTCGAGTCGCGGCCGGGACTGACTCCTCGTAGATCCGGTGAGCGAGCTTCCTACCGACGATACCGATCCGCTCCTTCGAAGGGTCCGCTTCGTCTGCACATCCGCGACGCTTGTCGGAGTTGTTGGGCGTGATCGTAGGGCCGCGGCGGCTGCAGCACTCGAGAGGGAGGCATTCGAAGCCTGATTCTTCAGGAAGGCCTGGGCTGCAGCGGTCGTCGCAGAGGCATTGGCGGTGGTTCCATTGAGGGGCTGTATGGAGATAGACGTGTCAGCGCGTGTTATGCTGCTACAGTATCATTGCGAGGAGCAAGTTCTCGCGGGGGGGCAAAAAAGCGCAATGCTGGAGGGCCAACGCGGAGAGTTGCCCGGAGTCGAAACACGCCCGGAGCTTCAGGGGACAAGAGGTGATGGAAGGGAAACATGTCAGTCAGAACATACCGGATTCGAGGAGCCTCTTTTCCTTCTGCTGTTCTTGGATCCAAACATATCGTTGTCGCCGACGGCACTGCCTGTCTGTGCTGCTGCTGCCTTTGCCTCTGCCAACTGGGGGCTGATGAGGATAGGTACTATGGCATGGAGAGAGAACAGAATTGGGAGGGCGATGCAAATTCAATGCGAAGAGATGACGACGGGCGGGGCAGGCAGCGAGCTTCGATGGGAGTGGCTGACTGGACTGGGATGAGCGGGCATGGGGGATTGGGAGTTGACTGGGATGGCGGTTTCTTGGCTGGTCTGGAAGTACCGGTACGGACGGCGGACGGCGGACGGCGGACGGAGGACGGAGTACCTACAGCTCAGCAATCAGAGCTGGTCGGGTGTGACGAGAGGGTGAAGAGTGAGATTGTCAGGAAAGAAAGAGGCAGAGGACTTGGGAGATGGGAGATGGGAGATGGGAGATGGGTGAGGAATGTTTGGTGAGGGAGGCTTGTTGATGTCGTCGCCGGGTGCAGCCAGTCAGTCATTAGTTCGGGGGGGGTCTCTCATATGAATCATGAGTTGCAGAATCGGTACCTTGCCTTGTTATCTCTCGGCTGAGCACCGGTACGACCCATGAGTGTTTTTGGGAATATATATCTATATCTATCTATGGATCGATCTATACATATAGATATATACATATGGAGAGAGATATAAAAATATGGCATTCACAGGAATACTAGCAAGACGAACATCAACAAACAGCAAGAGCAAGAGCTACCGGTAGATACGTCGCGGTAACAAACCGAAGCGACCAGAGCGACGGGACCAGAGTCGAGTCAAGTCGAGGCGAGTCAGGGCGGTTGTGATGTAAGATGAGTTGGATGCAAACTGATGAGATAGGGTCAGCCACAGCCTCAGCCACAGCTTTAGCCACAGTCAGCTCCACTCAGCCACAGACAGCCACATCCACAGCCACAGTTAGCCGAGAGTGATGTACGTCATCGGTATCTAATCATAACGCCAATTCATGGCATGACCCACCTGTTGTTCTTTCATTTCCCACCGGCGACACGGATCGCGAGACTGGGAATAGCTTCATCTTTCACGCAGCCGCGACGGTAGACCCGATTGATGAACACATTTCACATGTCCGTCTACTTTTACCCAATGATTCAATTGCCGCCAGCCTTTGCTTCTATCGCGTACCATTGCTATACATCTCACAATAAAACTAACCATCATTAATATCAAGCAATATCACAGCAACATGGCTTCCCAACCCCAATATGCCTCCCTCCCTCTCCCTCCAGGAATCACGCAATCCTACCTCCCTTCCCACGACCTGACCTACCACCTCCTCTCCGCCGGCAAGCCATCCCAACCACTCAGTAAGTCGATCATCCAAATCCAACCCCCAACTCTGAATTACACTCCCACATACTACATACAATAAATCATACACTAAAATCCATCTCCTAGTCCTTCTCCTCCACGGCTTCCCCGAGCTCGCCTTCTCGTGGCGCAAAATCATGCCTGCCCTGGCCGCAGAAGGCTACCACGTCGTGGCCTACGACCAACGTGGCTATGGCCGCACGACAGGCTGGGACACCCGTCCCTTCTCCTCTGTCGACCTCAACACCTTCACATTCACGCGTCTAGTCCGCGACGCCCTGATCTTCGTCTCCGCCCTCGGGTACCGAGACGTAGCCTGTGTGATCGGCCATGATTTCGGGGCCGTGGCCGCAAGCATGTGTGCGTTGATGCGCCCAGATGTGTTCAAATCGTAAACCTCCCTGCGTTTCCCTCTCCTGGGATATCGTTGTTTTCGTTGTCGTTGTCGTTGTCGTTGTATTTGAATTGATTCACGTCTGGCAGGTTGCAGGCGATAGTAACTTTGAGAGGATGGCTGATGTACGGCTCTGATACAGAGTAATAACCATGTCCCATCCCTTCAAAGGGCCCCCCTCTCTCCCCTTCAACACCGTTTCCAACCCCTTGGGCACAGATCCAAATACAGGCACTTCCGAGGGCAAGCCCGATATCCACCAAGCCCTCGCACAACTCCCCGAACCGCGCAAGCACTACAAATGGTACTACTCAACTCCGCTCGCCGCCTCTGAAATGAACACCCCCCAAAGCACCCTCCACGCTTTCCTACGCGGCTACTTCCATCTTAAATCCGCCGACTGGGCCCGCAACACCCCATCTCCCATGCAAGCCTGGGAAGCAAGCGAGCTATCCAAACTCCCATACTACTACATCATGCCCCTCGACGCCGGCATGCGCCAGTCCGTCCACCTCGCCATGCAGGGCTCTGATCCCGCCGAAGTCCAGCGACTGGGTGCGCGGTGGCTGGACGACGCTGAGCTCGCCGTGTACGCGGACGAATGGAGCCGCAACGGCTTCCAGGGCGGATTGAACTGGTACCGCGTTGCCACGGACCCGGTTCATATGGTGGACGTCGAGCTCTTCGCCGGCCGGACCATTGATGTCCCGGCGCTGTTTGTGAGTGGGAGGCAGGATTGGGGCATGTATCAGGAGCCGGGGGTGGTGGAGCGGTTAAGCGAGACGTGCACGCGAAGTAGGGGGGTGGCGGTTGTGGAGGGGGCAGGACACTGGGTGCAGCAGGAGCAGCCTGAAAAGGTTGTTGAACTGGTTTTGAAATTTCTAAAGGATGTCGAGCTTGATAAGATATCTCACTGAATAGCTACCCTCAAGAATCAATTCAATATAACCGTCAAATGGTATGCAGAGAAAGGAAGAAAGACGCATCACCCCGCACATTGTATCCCGCCGAAACTCGACTCATGAGCTGGACACCTACGTACCGCGCCTTCCAGTCAAGTCCAGTCAAGAATTCCTATCTACGGTACCTACATACGCATGGCTTTCTTTCGTACCCATACAGTACTGTCCGGGGCTTACTCACTCACATCCGTGTTTTAATTTTTTAACACCACGTCCTTCCTTGAGTGCCTTGTTTTTTTTTAAGTTTCAAAGCAAGCATACCCTAGGTAAGGTAGGTAGGTACTTTTATCGGCATAGATCTACCTAGGTACCTACTACGATCCTGTACATATATACGGAATATGTACATACGAAGTCCATTTATCAGTTTGATCCGGGCATAGGGAGGTAGGTAGGTGGGTAGGTAGGGACGCCCTATATCTAGATTTCATTTCGAGATATAGACAAGTTACGAATGGCTGAGCTGGGTTAAGCAAGCCGTTAGTGAGATCTTGATTGTATTGCTTTTTTTTTTTTAGGGATGTGCTTTATTTGGGTAAATCAGGGGTTGGATGGATGGATGGATGGATATAAACTTCGATATTGTAGATGAGGTGAAGTGGTGGCTGGCTGGCTGGCTGTGAACTGGCTGACAGACCGACTCGGCAATCCGGTCGATGGCACATCCGGCGCGGCACAGATGTGGGTGTGGTTCCCGGATGTTGATGTTCCCTCGCACTGATCCTACACGTGACCGCGTATGCTGCGCGTCCAGGCCAAGGCGTACAGGGATGGGCGTTAAGGGTGGTACCGTACCGTCTGCCTAGGTACGCACAGCACAAGGGATGAGACTGATCTCCTGAAATTGGAACGGGAAATTTTGTCATACTATCAATAGCTAGCTAAGCTTAAAACAAACTCGGATCGACTCGGTGTGCGTGGATCGGTCAAGAGGCGCCGCACGCTTATTTATTTATAGCCGCCGTAAGTGGCAGATACGGTTGCCTAAATTTAGTAAGATGAATATGAGGCATAGAATCGGGCAGTCAAAGGAGAGATCCGGTATAAGAAGAGATAGGTCTTTTATCGCATCGCCTTCCTGACTTTTGCCTTCGTTACCATCCCTTTCCTCACCATCACCTTCTCTATGATCATCTTCCGTCCCACCTCTCTCTTTTGCAGGCTTAATTTTTTTTTTCCTCAGCTCGCATGACCGAAGAACTCATGAGCCTTTAACCCTTTTTCGGTCTCTCCAAAATGATATTATTACCGCACTCTATTTGGTCGATCTTGCTAGCCTTAAGCTTTCTCTTCAATAGAGCTTGTGGAGAAAGAGAGGTTATCGCTTATCGGACTGTTTCCGAGGTACGTTTCGCTTGATCTACCGGTATACACAATCTAAGCTTATATTAATTACGGGGGTTGCAGGAAGAAGCCGCGTATATCAATCGCCATAATAAGCCTTACAGAGATAAAAAACACGACAGATTCTCTCGCTGGAATCAATTAGCAAGTGGATTCTATACGAGTAAGTGGATTTCCATGCACGGGTCGGGTACGGCTCGTGACTTGTTACGCGGGGTTTAATCATCCTAATAGCAAACGAACCTGCTGGCTGGCGGGGTTACACCGGCGACGAGTATTGTGTCATCAAAGCGGACAGTGACAAGTTTGAAAGTGCGCGCAAAGTATGGATCCCAAAAACCACTGGGGATGAGGCATCGCCAACGCTATTGTGGAGCGGAAACGAGGAGCGGATTCTGGATTACATCAGGTCGCTCGGCGTGCCAGAGCCGGAGAATGCATTGCGCTTTTCACATATTTCGCTTCACCCGGGGAAGCTGCAGATGGTTATTCCAACTGACATGATCAACAACGACGACCTGGATCTCTGGGCTGAGTGCTGGAAATCACCGAAGGATCTATTGAATCACGCGAGCGAGACCGTGGACTGGTCGCGGTGGGCTATTGCGGGACATCCTGGACCGGGCGAAGCGCTCGGATCGAGCAAAACCGTCCCGGTCAATTGGAAGCCGTCGATTTGGGAACCTGGAGCGAGCGCAGGAGCTTTTGCAAAGAGCAAAACCCTGCGGATGAGTTTGAAACCGTCGACTTCTCGGAACAAGGGGAAGGCCAGCGTGGCTGCAGCGCGTGTAGGAGCTCTTGCAAAGAGCCAGACCCTTCGGATAGGTTGGAGCCCGTCGATTTGGAAAGCGTCGGCTTCTGTCAAGAAAAAGGGGAAGGCCAGCGATCTTGAGATGAGCGACGGAGATCCTGGAACGAGCGCGAGAGCTTATAGAAAGAGCAAAACGCTGCGGATGAGTTGGAAACCGTCGGTCCCTGACAGGAAAAAGGGGAAGGCCAGCGATCCTGGAACGAGCCGAGGAGATCCTGGAACGAGAGGAGGAGCTCTTGGAAAGAGCAAAACCTTTCGGATCAGTTGGAGACCGTTGACTTGGAAACCGTCGGTTTCTGGCAAGAAAAAGGGGAAGGCCAGCGATCCTGGAACGAGCGGAGGAGTTCTTGCAAAGAGCCAAACCCTTGGGATGAGTTGGAAACCGTCGACTTCGAAATCGTTGATTTCTGTCAAAAAGGAGAAGGCGCCGAAACGGCATCGGTGGTGGTCGAAATGGTGGCGATTGACCCCTTGGGCATGACCAGCAGCGAAGAGTCGGAGGAAATGAGAGTTGAGAAGGGATGGAAAGAGATTGGTGGGTCAAAGGTTATTAATAAGCGAGGAAGCTAAGTAGGATCGAAAGTGAAAACTAACCCCCACCCTTTTTGGACGTATTTACTCTCGTCTTTTAGGTTCCTCGCTTACTCGTCGGATGCCTGAGTATAACTGAAAAAATTTGCCGACGTGCCTCAGCAAGTCGGGACCAGCAACTGGATTACCGGTTTGATCACTATTGGTTTTGGGAGGTGTATATATGTCAGGATGGTCGTGAATATGTCAGATTGAGCCCCCAACTACTGCATCACCACCAACTGGCAAAATCACGACATTCCAGGCCCGAGTCTCACCATCTGCTAATGATGCCTCTGGCCTCCAAAATCTCGCCCATCGCCGCCTACCGCTTTCCCTCGGGTTGGACCCTTGAGATGCGGATTCGCAATTCGCGGCCTTTACTTTGAGATGCCACGGACGGGATTTCTCATTGAATTTTACCCTTATCCTCTTTGCGGTACCGGTGTACTGTGTGATTTGGGCTTGATGCCGGGGTTTTAAAATAAAGACGAACGAGACTTGCCTGTGAATCAAAAAAAGGGGAAGCTGATAATAAATAATATGAATCCTGTTTCTTTGAATCCGTCTCAGCTCTGATGATCAATCGAAGCTGTCCAGAAACCATAGCTAAACACCTCAAGAGCTCAGGGGCCGGAGAGCAGAACCTCGAGTCCGAAATGGCGAATCCCAAATCGAACTCGGCCCTGGATGAGAAAGTCAATCTCGAAGTTCCGCAACAGAACAGCAGCGCCCACTCTCGGTCGTCCGGAGAAGCTTTCGCGAAGTCGACGGGTATCAATGAGAAAGCCCTGGTTCGAAAACTGGACCTGAAGCTGCTCCCACCGTTGACCCTGCTGCATTCACTATCCTTCTTGGATCGCGGTAACAGTAAATACATATCCATTGTTCCACCGGCTTCACGGAGAAATTCTTCCCCCCGACCATCATCAAGCAGCTCGGCTACAACCTCCGCCGAAGCCCAGCTCCTCTCCGTGCCGCTCTATGCCGCGGCCTTCGTCCTCACCATCACCACCGCCGTGCTGAGCGAGAAGACGCGCCGGCGCTCCCCCTTCACCATTGGCTCCGCGACCCTCGCCATCGTCGGCTACATCACCCTGCTCACGGCCCCCATCAACAAACCCGGCGTCTCCTACGCAGACACCATCCTGGCCGCGGCGGGCATCTACCCATCGACCGCCATCGTGCTGTCCTGGGCCGCGGCCAACGTGTCCGGACACAGCAAGCGAGCCACGGCCACGGCCATGACGATCACCATCGCCAATCTCGGCGCCGTGCTGGGCACGCAGCTGTATCGACCGAATACCAGCCCGAGGCGGTACCTGGGCCACGGCTTCGCGTTGGGCTTACCTGGTCGGCAACCTCGTGGTCACCGGACTGTGCTCTGGGCACTCTTGACGAGGGAGAACCGGCACCAAGTGGCGAGGCAGCAGGCTCGGGAGGGTGTGATTACGAGTGACGAGGACGTGAGGTGGTTGTTCCAGACATGGATGTTTGGAGATTGCTTATCAGGGATTCTGGAGATCATGGAGTGCAAGCAGGCTGGGGTGCGGAGAGCAGAAGAAAAAGAAGAAGCGTTTGAGGAAGACAAAAAAAAAAAAAAAAAAAAAGAAGAGAGAGAGAGAGAGACGCTCGCGGCTCGCACCTTGAAGGGTTTAAAAAGGTTAGCCAAGTATACTTAATAGTCAGTGCACTGACTTTGTAACCTGCGGGCTCTCGGTAACAGCCAGGACAAGCAAGTGTCCCATTTCACGTATTCCTAATTGGAAAAAGCTATATGTTATAATATTAGTTGCATTTAATAACAGTTGTATATATAAAAATCCGATAATCAAATAAAGCTCGATTACTATACGTCGTGCATCTATTTTTTTTTAATATTATTATTCGTTGCGTTATTGATTTATTCGAGTGGCAAATCGCTTCAATTCTAGCTGTTAGATATTCGATGTTCCGAAGCTCATAATCGATAAGCTGCAAGCTTGCTACGAGTTTTTATTATCAAAAAGCTAATCTCATTATCGCTTGTTGCGATGTAAAGTTATTCACGATATGAACCGTGATTTCCGATGATTTTTTTAATGATTTTCAACTCGATCGATTTTGCATACTATTTGAGATGGGACACTTGCATGCCCTGACTGTGACCGAGAGCCCGCAGGTTACAAAGTCAGTGAGTGAGTGCACCGACTATTACTACCCAACATTATTTTTCCCCAAGTCAGCAAATATTCCAGAGAACACACTCCTTGTGTGGATTTCCAGCCCACCTCGTGTCCACACATTTCATAGACCGCATCCACCCACCCACCCTATCTACCCTCCGCCCTAGATCCATCCCCCTTCCACTCTCCCGATCCCTCATCCCCTATCCCTCTCAAGCAGCAGCTCTAGAACCTAGCTCCAAGTCCAAAGAGCCCATCTATCCAGTTCCGAGTCGTATATATATATATATATATATATACATATGTACTTTGCCTCTCGCCTTTATCATCCGAGTCAGCATACCGGGTCCGTCACCGCAACCCTCCTATTGCACACACACACACACACACACACACCAGCTAGCTCACTCACAAACACCAGTACCGCACCGCTTCTTCCTCCACAGATCCAAAACAACAACATCGCCAATAAAGATCAAGCGAGAATTGGAAAGAGAGAGGGGAGGTAAGGAAAGGTAGGTAGGTAGGTACTTGTGAGAAAGACCTACCTACCTACCTACCCATCTATCTTATTATGAATAGTCAGCCATCACGGCCAAAAAAAAACAAAAAACAAAAAAACAAAAAACAAAAAACAAAAAACAAATTCTTTATGCTTGCTGTATGTATGTTTGCCAATGTAAATATACATACATATATATATCCATATCTATATTATATAATATAATACATATCACGTCATATACTGAATTCCGCCCACTCACTCCCTCCCCAGACGACCAGGAAGAAAGAAAGAGAGGTCTTTCTTTCCACGTTCCTCCTTCCTCTCGACCGGACACGACGTGCTCACCTGGGAAAGTATCCGGAGAGTATCAAACTCCCGTATGCATGGAGATAGATCATTTGGAAGTTCTTGGAAGTTCTTGGAAGTTGTAAAGTGTTGTTGTTGTTGTTGTTGTTGTTGTTGTTGTTGGGCTAGAAAGCTTCGGCAGTAAGCTTGGGGGCAGGAGCTCGGTTCAAGGGTGTTGTGGGATGGGGGCTTGTTGCGCCCGACTTCGATCACAGCAGCCAGCTATACGGAGGCGAGATGCTGTTGAAGCCGGCCAGCTTGAAAGACGGAGGGCAAGACAGCGAGCGGTTACACCCCTTCACACACACACAAACACCCAAGACCGATCGATACCATTCACATTAATGCAACCAATACAGTATACAAAATATGCACCAGTCATTCCAGCCTTCCCTAGCCCAGGCAGGAGGCTCAATACACAAACGCCACCGACCAATATGGTATCTATCATAAACAAACAAGCCTCCCTTCCCCCATCCCAATCAACATAACCCTCATGCTCATTTCCATTAATCACCTCGCCCGTCTCTACAAAAAACCCTTGCTCAAACTCAGCTGCCTCGAAACACTACTCTTCCGCTGCGGCACATCGATCATCTCCTCGCCTGAGCTGCCCCAAACCGCACCACTTCCCCGTCTCGAAGCACCCCCGACCCCATTCAGCACCTTCAATCCAGCCCCCTTCAACCCCTCCAACTCCCTCTCCAGTCGCAAGGCCTTCTCCCGTTCCTCGTTCAGCGCGCGCTCTGCCCGGCGTGCAGCAAGCTGCCCATCACTTTCCGAGCTCTGCAGTTCATCGATAGTTTTGAGCAATTTCTCAATCTTATCCCTCGATCGCGCAATGTCGTCTTGCATGCCCAAATTAGCTTTCTCTTTGCGTTCAATCTGCAGCTGGAGGTCTTTGACTGTGCGGTCAACATTGCGCACTGAGCGTTGGTTCTTGTTGCGTTCCGTTTCTTGGGCCTCGAGTTGGGCCTCCAGCTATTCAGAGTTAGTGAGTGATACGCAGGCTAGGTGATTTGAGGAGGGGGAGAAGGTAGCGAACCTCTTGAACACGACCATGAAGAAATCTGACATCTTGGCTGGAGCTCGAATACCCCTTCGTCTCCAAGTCCACAAGTCGCACCTGCAGTTCCTTGAGCGATTTCTCCAGCGCAGCTTTCTCCGCATGAAGTTGTGCAGTAGTTTCGCGCTCGGCCACAATGTCCTTTTGCATTTCGGAACACAGAGCATCAGCTCGTCGCATTTTACCAATAGCTGCTGCTGCTATATCCTCCTGCTGGGCAAGGTTCGATTTCAAATCCAGAAGTTCGCGGTCCAGACTTGCTGCGTTGCGCAAAGAAGGGCTGTCGCCGCGAGCGAGGTCATCGAGACCGGCCTTTGCTTCCAGCAGTCGAGCCTCCAGACCGCGCTTCTCTCGTTGCAGCATGTCACGCTCTGCACCCACGTTGTCCATGGTGGTTCTCAAGGTGCGGAGTTGGGACATTAGGTTGACAACCTTATCCTGAGCGTCGGTATGGGCTTTGATGGCCTCATCTCTGGAAGCAGAAAGATCTGAAAGTGTTGATTCGAGGCGAGCCTTCTCCTTGGACCAGGTAGAGCTGTTCAGAACTTCGTCATCCCATTTGGAACGGAGTTCCTCAAGCTCTTCTCGGAGTCTGGTGTTCTCGCTCTGTTTGAAAAGCTTTTCTTCCCGCGCGATGTCCAGCTCGTTAGTCAGGGTTGCAAATTCGGCCTGGTACTTTTTCCGAGTCTGTTCCATGCTTGTCTCCTTGTCTTCTAGATCCATAGCCCTCTGGCTGCGGTAATCTTCCAGCTCATGCTGCAAGCGTTTGCGAGCTTGCAAGGCAGCCTCAAGATCGACAGAGAGGTCCTCGAGTCGCTCTTCGTAGCTTTGATTTTGTCGTTGGAGGTCTTCTATGGTGGCGTCCATTTGCTTGCGCTCGGACATGATCTCCGCACAGGTTTCCTCAGCCTCTTTACCTTGAGCTTTCGCAAATTGCTCAGCTCTGGTAGCCTTCATCACCGCAATCTCGGCTTGCTCCAACTTGCTGAAATACTCATCGGCGCGGCTCTTGTACAGAGCGAGGCTTGAAGTAACATCAACTAGCTTCGATGACTCCGCATCAAGTCGGATCTGGAGATCAGCGTATTCTTGCAGCAGCTGAGCTCGATCTGCTGCATCCTGTTCCCTTTGTTGTGTTGTTTCTTCGAGGTCCGACTTGGCGTCTCTAAGCTCCACCTCGAGAGTTGCACGAGTACGCTTGAGATCTTCAAAATGCTTCTTGACATCACTTAGCTCTGCAACTGTGCCGGTGTGAATGTGCAATAATGATCGGCGGGAGTCTTCCTGACAGTTGATAAGATCGAACAGTTCCTCGTGAGATTTGGCTTGTACGTCACGAAGAGAAAGATCTCCGGTCTGGATGCTCTTTTCGAGGGCGGATACCTTCTTTGCAGAGTCGTCAAGCATATCGTGGAGTCTGTTGTTGGCCTGCTCCAGTTTCTGGACCCGGCGAATCGACGGGCTGTCATCGGGCCATAGTTCCCTCGCAGGGTTTCCTCGCTCGAGCTGGCTCTGAAGGTGTCGGTTTTGCATTTGACTCATTTGGAGCTGTGTCTGTAGCTCTTCGAGGTCAGCCTTAAGATCCATACGATTATTGAAACTTAGGATGTCCGCGGTTCGATCAGAACGGCCAGAGTCTTGCAGGTCGGCGTTGTTACTTGGGAATCGGCGCGTGGGGGTGGAGACATTCGAGCGTGGTCTTGCATTAAGCTTATTCCGGAGATGGTTAGGTGATGGGTTGAAGGCACCTTGGTTCAGACTGATCTCCTCCAGTTTGGGTCTGGTAGGAGAATTTCGCTCCGGAGACTCGCCAAACTCGTCTTCAAACCTCTTACGCAACTCAACAACCCGTGCCTCTGCATTAGCCCGGCCGGCTGCCTGGACTCGAAGATCCTGGTACAGTTCCTCGACCTTCTGGACGAGAGCTGGCACCGGATTTGGAGTCTTTGCCGCACTCTTTTCACTGCCGCCATCGAGTTGAGGCACGGGGTGCGTCATTTCTGGGTCAAGCTTCTTGAGCAACTGGAGCACATCCTGGTCGCGACTTTCCACCATAACTTTGAGTTGACGATTAGAATCTCTCGATTGGCTGTGAAGATGTCTTTCGGATTCGAGATTTCGAATTGCCTCGGCAAGTTGACTGTTCGTTGTAGAAGATGACTTTTCAGCATTGCGCGTCGTCTTGTGCTCTCGAGCAACTTCGTGGGCACGGTCTTCCAAATCCAACTCAAGCTTCTCGTTCCGTTTCCGAAGCTTCGCCATGTCGTCCTGAAGAGCCTCCATTTGCTTGGCCAGGATCCGGTTGGCTTCCTCAGCCTTCACCTTGTCCCGCTGCAAGGATCGAACCTCGCCCTGGCTCTTCTGATGGACTACCGAGTTTGAACGAGAAATCTCAAGACTCTTTTGTTGGATCTTAGTCAACAATGCTTTGTTATCTCGTTCCGATGCAATCAGTCGGCTCTTCGCTGCGTTGAGCTCTCGTTGCAGACGGTCCTTTTCCTGATCAACCTGGAGACCAAATTTTCCAGAATCAATGATCGTCTTCTCCAACTCATTGACTCGCTTTCCCAACTCTGCGCACTGCTCCTCGTAGAATTTTGCTCGGCTTTGCTCCTCGTCTAGATCTTTGCGTAGACTGGCTTCTCGTTCGCGAGCTACTCGCAGGGCACTTCGATCGTTGTTAAGTTCGGCCTGCATTCTTGCCTCTTCAGCAGCAGCTTTAGCTTCCCTCAATCTCCGAATCTCATTTCGAGCCTCGTTGCGCTCTTTCTCGGCCGTGACTCTGGCCTCCATCGCTCGTCTGAGCGTGTCTTGTTGTACGTAGAGTTCCTTCTCGATGGTGATCTTTGCTTCGTTGACCTCGTGGTATTTATCGTTGAGCTCTTTGTACTTGTGTTCCGCAAGGAGTTGGACATCGTCTCGTGATTGTTGCTCTTTGCTGAGATCCCTCTGGACATCATCCAGCTGCTTTTTGAGGTCCGAAATCTGACCTTCGAGCATTATGCGATTTTGACCTGCCTGTGCGTCTTCATTCAGACGTGCGTCGAGAAGCTTCTTGGTATCCGCAACTTCCTTTTCTAGATTGGCCTTCTGCGACTTCATAGCAAACATCTCGGCTTGAACTTCTCGGAGTCGATTGACCACATTCTCCTTCTCTGTTACCATTGCTGCTTTCTGGTCTTCGAAGGTCTGCCGCTCACTCTCATACTTGTGGTTGTCTGCTCGGAGAACCGCAAGCTCGCTTTCCTTCCGACGGACAAGGTCTTCGTATCCTGTCGAGGTGGCGGTCAATTCGGAAAGTTGTTGCTTGACACGACGGTTCTCGTTCAGCAGATCCTGCTCTCTATGACGAGTCGCTTGTAAGTCTTTGGTGGTATTCGCGAATTTGACATCGAGGTCGTGATCCACCTTGAGGAGTTTGCCCTCCAAATCTGAAATCTTCCTCTCTTTCAAGCTTAGTTGACTCTGCATCATATTGACCTCCTTTGTCAAGCGAGACTCTTCTGCGCTCCGCTGAGATTGCAGGCTGGAGAGTTCTTGTAGCTCGCCGTTGATGTGTTCTATCTTCTCGGCCAGTTCCTTCTTTTCAGCCTCCAGCTTGAAAATGATTTGACCTGCTTGCTCCGACTGCGTTCGCCATTCGTTCCTCTCCTGCTCTGCTTTTTTATGGTTCTTCAGGATGACATCAATCTGGCCCTCGAGCTGGATGTTTTCTTGCTCGGCATCCTCAAGGCCTTGCTTGGCAATGTCCAGGGCATCTTCGAGCTCGCTTTCTTTCAGCTGAAGTCTCCTCATGACCTCTTGATCGTCCAGTGCTGTGGCTCTCTCGCCGTCCAGGGTGCGTTGCATTGCTTGTAATTCAAACTGGGCCTTGCGCCGTTCTTCTTCGAGATGCTTACGGTCGACATGCTCTTGTTCCATCTGCTGCTGTAACCTTTTTATCTCTTCCTCCTTTTTCTTGACCTCGCTTGATGTGCGGCTGGCACCCAGGAGTGGTTTCATCCTTACCAGCAATCGCCACCAAGGATTCTCACATAGATCTAAGTAGACCTGGAAGTTTTTTTGAATGATGCGAGTTGCCTCCGCTCGGTAGAGCCTCTTATTCGCGATGCGTCGCTGCGTGAAGCCTCTCGCAACGGATTGAAATCGCTTGACAATCTCTCCTATCACCGCTTCCCGTTGTTGCTCGAGGTCAGCCAGAACGCCGGCTCTGAAAAAAACCTTGGTAATTCCAACTCGGAAGAAGGATTTATCCAACGCGAGCTTTTCAAGCATTGTGGTCGCTATAGTCCGCCCGTCTAGATAGCCCCTGGGCATATCTCGGCAGAGTACTTCGTACCGCGATCTGAACTCGGAAAAGGGAATGCGGTTAGGGAATCCCGTTCTAGCAATTCTGATACCCTCTAGAACACCGTTGCATCGGAGTTGGTCTAAGACAAGTGGGGCACTCAGCTGCTTCGAACGCTTCTTGTGATTGGGGATGATACACCTAACGAAGTGGGGATGCGTGGAATGGAGCTGGGCCATCAGAGTGGAAAGTTGCTCTTTATGTCTTTGCGCCACCGTTCGAAACAGCCCTTTTTTGACACGGCTCCGCGGAGCCGTTAAGTCACCATCGGTATCAGCACAGTCAGCGAACAGCGAAGCTACATGTTTATCCGTCGATGCAGCGAGGAGCCTCGTGATGTTGTCGTTTAACGGGTCCTTGTTCTTCTCAAGCCAGCCTTCCGTCGAGTATTCAACCTCAGCGGCATAGTGAGTAAGCATGAAACCTTGCCCAAGTCGTGAAGGACGGTATTTGAGCGTCTTTTTGTCCCAGAGAGAGTGCAGCTTTTCCGTGAAAGATTTGTCTGTGGCTTTTGGCATCACACAGTCCTCATCCAAGCATGAAAAGATACCGATAGGATTCGGTAATTCGATAAGGTCGATTGTGGGTTGCAGGTCGTGCCCGAAATCAATGAATTTCCATTCGATCTTCTCTCGAGCGTACTCTTCCTGTTCCAAGACGAACATGTGGTGGTTAAAGAATTGTTGGAGCTTTTCGTTCGTATAGTTGATGCATAGTTGCTCGAAGCTATTCTCCTCGAAAATTTCAAACCCTGCAATGTCGAGCACGCCGATGAAATGTGAATCGTCCAGTCCCATACCAGTCCGGTCCAGCTGCCTATTGATCTGAGTTACCAGGTCGCCAAAGCTACGCTCATAGATACCCTTAGACAAAGCATCTATACCAAATCTGACTTGCTCCGGTGTTTGCACTTTCTCGACCCATTCCCGACCGGCTTTGACTCGAGGATGGAGCAGTGCTTGAAGAAAAGGTTCGGTTGGTATACCAAGAAGTTTGCAGACCTTGTTGGCATGCACCTTAGCATCGGTAGCCAGGCGCGCTTGATCCGCCGCTCTGCTTTCCTTCACCACGGTGATGTTGCCCAGATGGAGAACAGCAGCTATAGTTCTGAGGATTGAGAGCTGCCCCTCCATTGAGAATCCCATTATCGCAAATGCTTCCACCAAGGAGCTCCATTCGTCTTGGTCCGAAACACCGGTGATTATGTCATGCCCATCTCGTGTGTAAGCGAAATCCTCCACGTCCAGGCCGTCCAGCATGAATTCTTGCTTGATTCTTCGGTCTGCGCCTTTCAAGAGTTGATAGAATACGTGATAATTGCGCTCATGGGCGTTTAGCCGCACCACACGAGACTTTTCTAGCAGGTACCAGTCGATGAAAGCTCCAGCGATAGTTCCAGACCTTGTGAATTCGATTCGGATAAACTTCCCAAACCGGGATGAGTTGTTGTTTCGGACCGTTTGGGCGTTACCGAATGCCTCGAGAATTGGATTGGCTCGAAGGATTTGTTGCGACAGATTGGAATGCTGTGCCTTGTTCTTGATGGGCGATTCCGAGTGCGCGACCGCAGCAAGATACTGAATGACTTTCTTGGTGTTCTCAGTCTTTCCGGCGCCAGATTCTCCAGTGACCAGAATGCTCTGGTTCTCGCCCTCGTCCACCAAATTACGGAAAGCCTCGTCGGCCATGGCGTAAATGTGCGGCTTCGTTTCCTCCCTGGACCGCCCCTTGTACATGTTGATGTACTCGTTGGTATATATGGGTAACGAACAGTACGGGTTGATTGCAACCAGGAACAAGCCGGAGTAGGTGTAGATTAAATCCGCTTGGTACCGCATGTGCAGATTGTGAACAACGGACGCCTCGTTTAGATGTGTGAGTTCGGCCATATCATCTGCCTTGTCGAACCTTGCCGGATTGACCTTGTCGACGCTATCTGCGTGAACTTCTCGTTGCTGCTCGTTTGTCAGCACCACGCAACTCTTACGCCGGAAGTCAACATACGCTCCCATCATCGCACTGGACGAGAATATGGTTCCCGACCAGCTCATCCACAATCCAGCCTTTCACAAATGCATTTTGGGGGTCCTTCAGCCAGACATATCTCTTCCCGGAGAAATCATTCTCTCCTTCGATGCCCTTGACTATCTCTGGCCCACGTTGCATCTCCTCCGATTGTATGAACGATGGGGCGAATGTATTAGAAGAGGAAGAGAGGTGCTTCGAGTTTGACCGATTCCGAATCATGACATCGTAGTTGGGAGAGACAACTCCTGCCAGCGAGGAGTACGATCGATTGTGCCCAACGGGGCTCGTCGTTCCTGAAGTCGGCGTGGACGCCAACAAGGACTTGGGCCTGCCATTTGGGACCGTTGGGCCAGGAGATGCCGAGCCTGATCTCGAGAATGGGTTACCGCGCTTCTGCGGCGCATTCGACACCATGGCTACGAAGTCAGGGCGCCCAAATCAGCATAAGTTCGGAAGTTTGGAGAGAAAAACAAGAGCGATCCCGGACGCGCATTGAGTGAGTGCAGCGGCAGATCTGGCCAGGTCCGAGCCCGGGTCCTTCAAGGGAGAATTTGGAGAAGAAGAAAGGAATTAGGAGAGCAAATCCAGATTGCGCGGGAAAATGGATAATGGCGAATGCGATGGTGGTGCAGATGGTGGTGCAGATGGTGGTGGTGCAGAAGGTTTGTTGTTTTGGTAAGTGGTAAGTAAACACGCTGCAGAGCAACGAGAATGGGGCCGGTAGAGGATCCGATGCCAAGACCCCAAGTCAGATTGAAGACTGGTAATAATCGAACCCCTGGTCGGAAGACAAGTCAGGCAGCATTGCTCTTTTTGTGATTTTTCTTTCACACGCGATTAATCAACAACACTACAACTAAGTTTAGTACTAAGACGTATGATATACTCGCTAGTGCTACTGTCTTTAGTAAATCTCATCCTTAAATTACAACGAGTATAATTGCTGCTAAATTCGTCGTCTTTCTTCGTTGATATCCCGCGAGTTTCCAAGGCCGAAAGTCATAAATCACAAAAGAGGGCTCAAACAAGCATTATCGTGTCTACAAAGCGTAGACTTACGTAATTATATATAATCTTTGATATATATCGGCTACTAAGTAATAGAATCCAGTATATGTTGTTGTTATTGTTGTTGTTGTTGTTGTTATTATTGTTGTATTTATTGACGTCAGGCGGGTATCCAAAACGCAATGCTTGCACCCTGGGGACCTCCTATGGGGTACGGCGACGTGCTAAGTAGAGGAATTATGTACAAAGTACTATCCAATCGAGAGTAAAAACCACGTTGGGGAAAAGCTCTCGTCAAATAGCTGAACACCATGTAAACCCCCTAGAATCCAGTATATAGATTATGATAAGCTGCCTATTCAAATGAAGATGCGGGGCTTTCAAACTGATCGATGCACTTGAAAAATAGCAAATTTATCATAACTAATCGATTTATTATTATGATAAGCCATTGAAACAGAACGGAATGTAAAACCGAAGCTAGGGATTTCGGCTCTTCTCTTCAAAAGGTTACATCTAATTTTTCGTGATTGCTACGATATTTAATTACTTCTTATATGGAAAGTTATTTAAACGGTGCCGACGAGATTCGAATACTGAAATAATTGCTTTCTGAAATTCTATTACTTCGTACTTCTCTTATCGAAATATTTCTGATATTGAAGAATAGTATAATATTTTAATATTCATTCTTTCATTAAAAAGTACGTTGCAAATCTATGTTGCAGTTAAAAAGGTCAAAAAGTTGACCGTATTGCTGAAGAGTACTTACTACTCCGTGGGAAGGGCAATCCTCTGACTTTTATCCCGACCAAGGGGCACGATTAGTCAGTGAGTGCGCTCGCTGCCTTATAACCTGCGGGCTCTCGGTTTCCGCACTGACTAGGTATTACAACGATCGTACCCAATTTAAGATCCTGAGGCAAAGCATTTTCAAATAGAAGAGATCCTAGGCAAATATGCATCGCCATCCTCAATTTCAATTCCATCCCATTTCATTTCTCATGTAGCGATAGCGAGTGCCTTATGAGTAACCAAGAGGTTCTTGCAAAGGCCTTCCTTTCGAGAAAGTCCCGAATATACGACGCCAGGTTAACACGCGGTGGAGTTCGTTTAGCTAGCTACCCATTAATCGTCGGCTCGCTTAGGTGGGCCCCCTTATATCCTTTCAGTCTTAGTCGGCGTAAGCGATTGCGGATCGGAAGCGAATGCGGATTTCTCTTTTACTGCTAGTAATCGTCGGTTACTGATAGAATCAGGAGTGCAAAAGGTATAGTAGATTCAGTATGAGAGTACTGAGAGCTAAGTACAGGTGTTCTTAAGGTAACAGCCAAGAGCTAAGAGGCTAGTCTACGCAAAGGAATATAAGCGGCAGTCCAATATTCTAATATCTTTTTTGCTCTATGACTCTTAATATAATAACGATTGCAACTGAATTTAAATTGCAGCTTGCAAATTGATTTGATTTTTCGTTTCGAAGTTATACCGAACTTTTATAATAAAGTTCCAAGTGATGTTCCACCTTATAATAATAAGCAGGCCTTATTAACTCTTATAATACGCTTCGAGCGTATAGCACTTACATCTCCTTTATAGGAAGTTCAGTCGCTCCGTAACTCGAGAGCTTACGTTATAATATAAAAGTATCTTTTGGTCCGGCCTTTTACGCTTTAATAGGTTTGATCTTATTCCTTTTTATAGTTCTTTTTAATTATGGTATTCGTTTAAGAAGGCCTATCTGGCTTTTATAGCGTTCGAAAAAGGTGCTTGGTAAAGCTTTTATAAGAGCGTCTATTATATTATTATCGCCGGGAACGTGTTTTATAATCATTTTTCCTTAATTGATTATATCGTCTCGAGTATAAAAGTGACGAATATCGATATATTTAGACATAATTGTAAATCGAAGTTCTTAAGCTAATGATTTAGCTCTTTTATTATTAAGACACAAGATAAAAAATCGTTTTAAGTTTATTTTAAGATTAACGAATAGCTTTAATATTTAAGCTACTTCTTTTAATCCGTCGCTTGCAGCTATTATTTCAATTGCTAAGCTGCTTAAAGCCGTAGATTTTTGTTTATTGCACGCTTAGCTTATAATTGCTCCGTAGTACTCGCAAAGCTAAGACTAAAAGGATTTTCGATCCTTTTTAATACCTTAAGTAGCGTCCGAGTAGCAAATGAATTTGTTGCTTAAAGCTCCTTTTTTCTTGTATATAATGTGACGACCTTAAGCGATTACCTGAAAGAATTCACGAGAGCGCGAAGGTTTATATAAAAGCTTAAGAAAATCTTAAAGTAATGACTTAGAATCAACAATTACCGAGTGTAAAGGTCGAAAGTAATTAAAGTCTATATACACGAAAGTAAAAGCGCTAAAGACTTGTAAATTATAGTTTATAAGTCAAAAGCGAAGAATAAAAGAATACGAAAAATGCGAAAAAAAAAAAAAAAAGAAATAGCTTAGCGTATATGAAGTGCGTTTAAAAGACTTAGCGTATCGTTATACTATTTTCTTATTCGAAAAAAGCTCGTCCTCGAGCGTCTATCTATTGCTTTATCATTGCTTAAGTGATCGTAATCGTTAATACCGTCCGAATAAGCTTTGATCTATTCGAAGAGCTTCGCGAAAGAGCCGGAAAGCTTTTTGTGTTTTAAATAGAAGTTACGTACTTTAAAAAGAGCGTATATAAAGTCGGAAGCGAAGTATTAAATAAAGTCAATATCGCGGTCGAGCTAAGAAGCGCGGTATTTAAAGTGCTTTTTAGTTTAACGCACAGCTAAGATGTTTTTTATTTTATACTTAAGTTCGCCGGTAATATTAATTAAATCAAGTTTAAAAATAATTTGCTCGAAAGTAAAGTTATTAAAAGCTTTTCGTAATCGTCCGAAATAAAAAATTAAATAAACTTTTATTAACTCGAAGAGCTTAAGTTTAAAGCTGCTATAAACGTTGTCGATAATCTCGAACGGTTTATTCGTAAAGTTATCGAGTTTTTTAAACGGTCGAAAAGTAAAGAACGAGCGTATATTTAATTAAACTTTATTATTAACATCGAAGTCAATCAAGCGCTTTAATTTATTAGCTTGTTTTGCTATGCGGTTTTAAGCGCGCTAAAGATGCTTTTTAGCGAGGCTTTAAGCTCCGAAGTAGCGATTAGCGTAAGCGCGAGCTTCGTCTTAATTAAGCTTGCGAAAAAGGATTTAGTCGTCAAGTCGTTTTAAGCTTTAATTTTAAGTGGTCCGAAGAGCGTAGCTATAAATCATTTTTTTAAAAAAAAAGCTATCGAAAAAGTCGTAAAAGAGCGTTAATTAAGCGAAGTTTATGATTAAAAAGAACTCGCTTTAATCGTCTTAATAGTAGCTTACGAAAAGACGAAAGCGCTTTTGCAAGTATTAATTATAAATCTCGGTTTAACCGTCGGTTTTAAAGTGAGCGGCGGTATTAAAAGTTAATTTAATACCGAGTATTTTATTAAATTCTTTTTAAAATTCGAACTAGTATTAAAGTCTTTTATTAAAAGTCAATATTGTAAAAGCACCCAAAAAGATGTGCTGTATAGAAGCCTGGCTCTGAGGCTGGACCTTATGGTCTTATAAAAAAGAAGTGCTAAAAGATAGGTAGAAAGCTCGTTGATTGTTCTAGCTAAAAGATATGTGCCTTTTTATAAAAGATAGGTCCGTCTAGTGTAGCTTTAGTAGCTATAACAAGTACTTTATCAAGCAGAGTGTTTACATCCGTCCTTTTATAAAATAAGTAAGCGCTCCCGCTTACTATTAAGCAAAAAGAAAAAAAAAAAGTTGTAAAAAAAAAGAAAAAAAATCTAGTATATAAAAAAAAAGAAAAGTATCTTGTTTTTAAACTCTAAACGTTTAAACTACTTTTCGGCAGCTTCTTTATGATCTCTTTCCGTGCTTACGTCTTTAACTTTTTCGTTTTCCTTAAGTTAAAAAGGTTTTCTTCTTTTAGCAAGTCTAGTTTTAAATAACGACGTGCTAATAGCAGCATCTTTAAAAGTAAAAGAGCGCGTATCGTTTTTGCGCTTATTGCTCGTAGAATCGTTGATAAGTGTGAACTTAATTAACGGAAGATTAACGAAGTTAAAATAAAGTTTAAAGCTATTAATTAAGTCGTTTTCGTCTTCGAGCAAATCATTTAAAGCTTTTTATAGCTTTATCGAATGCGCGGTCTAAAGATTTCGGTTAAAAAGATAATGCTTTAAGATTGCTGATTTAGCTCGTGAATCGTAGTTTACAAATAGATTTCGCACTTTTTAAGTTGATCTTTACACTTGAATTAAAATCGTTAAAAGACAATTTAATCGATCGTATGCTTTCTTTAAAATCCTTTAACTTATCGGCGTTTACGAAGTCGTTAGCTCGACGACTCTTGCTTTTAAAAAAGG